GTGGATAAATTCTATATTTACACAGATACACACATAGTCATCAAAGGCTTTCTGGCATTTTCATGCAGGTCTCCTAGGAAGGGGGTGTTTAGCCTGGGTTGTGCAGGGGGTGACTTTCAGCTCCATACTGGCTTCCTGCCCTCAACTCAAAAGCAGGTGCCAGGAGCCAATTCTTTCCCAGGAACATCTGCAGGTCCCATTTCCTGAGCATCTACCAGTACCAGCAGAACTTCGTTCCCCTGAGAATCGGGAAGGTAAAGTGACTGGCCCAAGGTCACACGGCCAGGGGTAAGTGGAGTGTTAACCGCACAGCCAGGCGGCCCTCGGCCAGGCCATCCTCCTGCTTGGGTCCACGCCCCCCTCGGGAACCAGCGGCAGAACTGGGTGCCCCGGGTCAGGGCCCAGCCCGGCTGGCCCGGCTTCCTCGTCACTCCCCGCGGGGCGCAGCCTCTGCGGTGCCGGGAGTGGGGAGGCGCCGGCAAAGTGCTCTCCGTGGGGCCACTCGCCAAGCTGCCCGCACCGCGGGGCCGCGGAGGGACGAGTCCGCGCCCGAGGTCGGTCACGCCCAGCCGCCTCCCACCCGGCGCCGGCGACTTCAAAACTTTCCGCCCCGCGCAGTGCGCGCCCGACGACTCGCAGGTGCAGGGCCACCCCCAGCCGACAGCGGCGCCCCCGGGCCACCCGCCAGCTCCTCGCCGCAGCCCGCAGCGCGGCCGGCGGGAACCGGAGACCGAGGCGCAGAGAGGGCCAGGCACCGGCCCAAGGTCACACAGCGCGGCGGCCGGAGTCCCCGGGGCCCCGCCGTACTCACAGCCGGTCTTGCCCTCGAGCTCCCGCACCTCCTCGGACGCCGAGTGGGCAGCGCCCATGGTGGGCGAGGGCCCGGGCGCCCCCGCACGCCCGGCGCCGGCCTCGCTGCGCAGCGCCGTCGGCCGCGGGTCCGGGCGGGTCGGGTCGCGTCGCCGGGGAAGGCTCTGAGCGCGGGTTCCGCGTGGGGCCCGAGCGCGGCCTCTTATAGCGGCGGCCGGCGGCGCGCGCGGTCCTAGCGCACGCCGGCTTCGCGCCCTGCGGGGCGGGGTTGGGAAGGAGGGTGGGGGTTGGGGGGAGTTGAGGGGAGAGCCCGGGCCGCGGCCGGAAACCGAGGAGAGATTGGAGAGGGGCCCCTTAAGGACCCTGCCCCTAGGTTCCTCGGTCCCCACCACGCCTGTAGCTCTTCGCTCGTTCTGCGCCCCTGCCGGGTGTGCAAAGAGGCAGGTGTGAGTAAATTAGGCGGGGGAGGATAGGAGCGAGCAGACCCCTGGCAGGTCCCATGCCCAACCCCATCCCTGCCCCACATCCTCCCAGCTACCAGGCGCGGGACTCCGCGGGGACAGGGAAGGAGGTCAGTGTGCATTAATCAGCTCTACGGAGAACAACAACAGTAATAATAATCCACCTTGAATTTGTATGCGGTTATTCCAGGAGCGCCTCTCTCCTCCTCCCCAGGTGACAGTCCTAATCCCCATCCCCCAACCGCAGGCCGAGCCGGGTCTCAAACTTTGGGAGCCGAGAGCTCCGCCCACCCGGAAAGAGTTTGCCTCTGCCGCCCTGTAGATAAAGGCAGTGGAGAGCGCCACGCAGGGGGGTCTGGTTGCCACTTTGGAAAGCTGCTGGGTTAGGCTGGCTTAAAGGTTCTGCACTGCATCTGGGTGGGGTGGCCGGGCAGTCCTGGCACCTAACCATGAGTCCTCCTCCTTAAAATGGGGCCGTGTTAATTAGATGCTCACCCAAGGGCCTGGCAGAGACACAGCCCAAGGTGGCAGAGGCTGGTGGTCCTGTAGAATCAGGTCCCTTACTGCTGGCTGGAGGAACTGATGCCCAGGAAGGTCTCAGGGCCAGGGCACAAAGTCAGAGTCAAGACCTTCCTGCCTGCGGCCAGGCCATTGGGCTCTACAGTGCTGGGTGAACGGCCATCCTTGACTGCCCGGCATTCGGTATCTGTCCTGGGAACCAGGCTCAGGGATAAGTCTCCAGGCTAGGGCCAGAGCACACAGCAACTGGGGTGGCACCGCTCAGGATGCCAAAGTGGGTCTTGGCTGCACATTCCTGGAGCCACAGCCCTTTCCAGCAGCAGAGTGCCCTCAGAGCCACCAGGGTGCTCCCAAGGCCCTCTGGGACTGCGGAGTCAGCCCCTCTCCGTTGACAATGAGGCCCCCCCATTTACACTCTGGGCATGTGGAAAGCCGGGCCAACCTGGAATCTGCATTTTGATGCTGAGACTGAGGCGGGCGGGGGAAATGCTGGTGCTGGGACATCAGCTGGTTGAGCCAGCTGGACAGTGGACCCACAAACTGCAGTGAGGTCAGAAGAATTCTAAAAACCCGGACAGACCTGGAGCTGAGGGCTCAGGAAGGAGTCAGAGACCCTGAGACAGCCCATTCCCCACAACTGCTGGGATGGCTTTATTCCAGCTTACAGGATCAGTTCCTGGAATTGTATTTGATTAAAATGATTCAAAGGCCAAATAGTGGGTGTCCGCTGCGGGGTCTGGAAGAGGTATTCTCAGTCTGCACACTGGGAGTCCCTATCAGTGGGTGGGGCATAAACGGACACACGCCTTTGCTCTGGCCCTTGGGTGATCTCAGTAAGACAGCAGCAGTAGCCTGTCTACACTGATTGCTGGCTGCTGCTAGCTCCTAACAAGCACTTGGAATCCTCCTGGAAGGCCCACCGCCTCCCCTCCTCACAGTGTAAACACGGCCCCAGGTCTTCTTGGGGTCCTCATCTGCCCTCCTGGGTCTGCTGCCAGCCAAGCCACCTTTGCCAGCCAGCACGGAGCTGGGACAGGGGAAGACCTGTGTATGAAGGCCAGGGAGAACTTACTCCTATTCAACAATCAGAAGTTGCAGGTATAGTAGGAAGATGGAGAAACCGAGGCACGATTTGTGCAGTCATTCATTCATTCGTGGCCACAGCTGGGCCCTGAAGGCATAACCGGGAATGAGACACTCTTTTCTCTCCAAGGAACTCCTGAGGGAGTTGGAGACACACATACATGGGCAGTGACAAAGCAGAGAGGTGAACAGTGCCCCACAGCAGTTGGGAACATTCAAGCCAGAAGATTCCCCAGAGAGCTGCTGTGATCCCCTAAGCTGAGCTGTGTGGACTGCGTGACTGTCCCCACCTGTGGTCCTGAAGGGACACGTCGAAGCCAAATACGCAGTGGACAGACGTCTCTGAGAGCCTGCGTGGGTCCCTGCAGCGGCACCCACCCACCATCTGCCTCTGGCAATGCGCACACGCCCGGCAGGGCTCCCTCCACAGAAAGCTTGCATCAGCCTGTTGCCAGACGTCCGGACTTTCTTCAGTCCTTCCAGTGGCCCTGTTGGCGTCACCAGAGCATGCTGAGGTCTGGAGCGGTCTGGCGCTGATTGGATTTGTTGTCTGGAGGGGAGGAGCACCCCTGGGGATGAGCTTTGTCCTCCCATCTCACAGGGCGGCCTTCTGCGGACTGGGAAATGCTTTGGTCACCAGGCAACTGTCTTTCTTCTCCCAGAGGACCCCTCCCACCCCCCACCCACGCTGATTAAAAGCTGTGGCTGAAAATATCTGTGTTTGTCTCTGTACCAACATGAGTCACATGGCTGGTACCTGTGATGCCAGAGGCTGGCTGGGTCCAGGGAGCCAGGGAGGGTCTTCATGCCACTGTCTCACCTTCCAGTCAGGCAGGGTCACAGAACTAGACTTGGGCAAGTGCTTAACCTTCCCCAAGCCTCAGTTTCCCTACTGTAAAATGGCAATAGCAACAGTGCCTTCCTGATTGGGTGACTGTGGGGGTTAAGGATTTATGCATGTAAAGTGCTGAAAAAAGCAGTGGCTCACAGAAGTGCTGTGGGGTGGTTTGCTGGTAAACAGACTCTGAACAGACACATGCCTATAATCCCAGTATGCAGGAGGCTGAGGCAGGAAGATTGCCATGAGTTCAAGGCCAACCTGAGCTATGATCTACATAGCAAGACCCTAGTTCAAAAAAACAAAACCAAGCCCCAAAATATACAGGGGAGGAAGACCTGATCTGTGACATTTGCCTGTTTCTATAGTGTAAATACTGTTACGTGGCAAATTTCAAGCTACCAATCATTGAACAGTGGACTTGCAGAATTTGTGAATATTTAAGTGTGTGTGTGTGTGATACCAGAATTGAATGCTAGGCCTTTGCAACAGCCCTTTTTTATTTTTTAGGTAGAGACAGGGTTTCCCTAACTCATCCAAACTGGGCTCAAACTCAGTCCTCCTGCCTCAGCTCCCACAGTGCTAGGAGTACAGGTGTGAACCACCAAGCCCGCTACAGTTCACTTCTGCAAGTTGGCACAGGACAATCCCACATGTTGGTACACAGCACACTGTGCTCCACGTATCCCCTCCTTCCCTGCCTCCCTCCCTCCCTTCCTTCGCCAGTCCTGCATTCACTAGACGGCAGAGACCGTGCCAGACACTGCAGGAGCTCAGGGCCCCACCCACACGTCCCCATTTCACTGATAACAAAGCTGAGGAGTCCAGCAAGGGTTGCAAACCAGAGTCAGAGCACAGGCTTGAAGCCATTCAAACAGCCATTTCTGCAAGCCACTGTCCCTCCTAATCACTCTAGTCACTCAGCCGGGGGCAACTCCCCGGGCTTGTTAATGTTCTAGGAATGACAAGACAGTCTTTAGCCACTGACTGAGACATTTACAGGGACTCCACATGCCATCTTCCGTGGCCTCCGACTTAGAGAAGCCTAAATCACCTCAAATAAGCACCAATTAGTGATGCTCTTGCCAAACACGTCCAGAGAGGGACAGCCCGCAGGTGGCCTGCACCTGTGTTTTGGCTCCAGCAGGGATCTTCTTGCTCATCTGGGCTCCTCCTCCCCGCCTCTGGGTCTTAGCTTCTTGGTTTTAGTCTCACTGGAATCAGAGAAGTGCCATTCCCAGTTTGCACTGAATTACGCTCATCCCTCTGGTTGTCTTTATCCTTCCTCCCCCAGGCGCACTGATGGTTCATCTGCTATGGGAGCCGCGCTCTGCCCTCGCTCGTGTGCCTGTGGGCTGAGTGTACTGCCACTCTGCACCTCGGTGTCCTCATCTGCAGAGTGGGCACCAGTTTCTGGACAGTTTGGGGAGGGCGAAGTCTCTGGGTCCAGCCCCCTACCCCTATGCTTGGTCTGGGGAGGTGATCTGGGCAGGGACATTTTAGAATCACGGCTCCTTCTCGTCATTTCCTGAGAGCTTTAAATTCGACCCTGACCTGGACATTCGGGTCCTCCTGATCCCCTGGCACGGGCCCCTCTAGGTGTCTACCCCAGTGCTCCAGCTGCCAGCGATGCACCCTGTGCCCCTCTGAGCCACCAGATCTTTGTCTCCACCCTTGGCTGGAGCCGTATCCAGATCTCAGAGGGCCACAGCTCCACAGAGGTGGGGGTGGGGCTGCCAACTAAAAATAGGATCCCGGGGCTCTTTGGGCAGGGTGGCTTGAGCAAGGTTCTGTATTATTTATATAAATAGTCACCCGTTACTTGAATGTGCAGGGGGCAAATGGAAGCTGATCCCTGAAGGGCTTCAAACTGCATTGTTGTCTGAGAAACTTATCAGAGAAGCAGAAAGAGGTGGGAGGGGCCCAAAATCTATTTTAACTTCGCTATCACTTTATATGGAGTTCGGGGCAGGCCTGACAGAGGGATGGGTGTCCTCAAAGGAGCCAGTGCAGATCAGCATGCAGATGGGAGGGGCTCTGAGTGGGGAAGGTTTGTTTGTTTGTTGTTGTTGTTGTTTTTGGTTCGGGGGATTGAAGGGAAATTTTTATTTCGTCCTTACCTGGGATGTGGGGAGAAGCATCCTACACCAGCAGACAAGTGGAAGGATGTGGAAGCTCCGTTCCCAAAGAGGCTTACATCTTAATGAATAGAAGCTGTGACTGTTGCATTACATAGAAAAGGAATAAGGTTGCAAATTGGCTCCCCTGGAAATGGGGGGACTCTGCCCTGGATTATCTGGGGGACCCGGTGCCATGGTGAGAGACCTTATACAGGGAACAGGGAGGCAGGAGGGGCCGTCAAGAATGACAGGATGTGGAAGACCCAGCCAGCCATTGCTGGCTTGAAGATGGAGCAGGGGGCCATGAGCCAAGGAATGCAGGTGACTTCTGAATGCTGGGAAACACAAGCAAACATTCCCCACGCCCAACCCTGGGAGGAAACACAGCCCCGCTCCTCACCTTGATTTTCCTGCTGAGACCCATTTTGGATTTCTGACCCCCAGAACTGTAAGATAATACATTCGGGTTGTGTAGGCCACCTGGTTGGTAGTAATTTGCCACATCAGGAACAGAAAACAAATACGGACTGGACTTGTTTTGCACTTGAAGTCCCAGGCCCAAGGGGACAGCGCTGACCAGACTTCCCGGAGGGCTGCTTCTTTGAGTCCGTGTTACCTGGGGGTTTTATTTAAATTCCGGTTCCTAGATCCAGAGGTTCCAGCTCAGGAGGCCCAGAAATGCACTTTGAATGAGAACTCCGGGTGATTCTGATAGATGGGGTTTTTCTCAGGGTGGGGGTAACGGTTCTGATGATATAATTCATCCTGTACTATCCCCTTCCGGTGCACAATTCAGTGGTTTTTAATATCTTCGCAGAGTTGTGCAACCATCACTGGAGTCACGTTTTGGAGCATTTTCTTCCTCCCCAAGAGATACTTCACCACCTTTAGCCATCGCCTTTCAATCTCCTACCACTCCCATCCTCTCCAGCAACTGATACCCACCAATCTACCTTCTGTCTGGGTGGGTTTGCCTATTCTGGATATTTCACATAAATGAAATCATACACTAGGTGGCCCTTTGTATCTTTTTTTTTCCCACTCAGCATGTGTTTTCAACATCTATCCATGATTTAGCCCTTCACTCCTTTTCATGGATGAGCAATATTCCATCATGCGATTTATCCATTCCTCCACTGAGGGACACTTGGGCTGTTTCCACCTTTTGGCTGCTGTGATAGTATTGCTTTAAACAGTGGCATATGGGCTGGGGATTTAGCTCAGTGGTTTCGCCGCCTGCTGCGCAAGCTCAAGGACCTGAGTTCGATCCCCAGTACCAAAATAAATAAATAAATAAACAGTGGCATACAAAGATCTGCTTGGATCCCCAAGCAGGCCTCATTTTGAGAGGCCAGAACATAGCGGCTAGGGTGACACTGTCTCTTCCGTATGTATTGCTTCCGAAGCAAGGGCCGTGGGCAGTGAACACAGGGGCTTCCAGACTAGGAGGGTGTACGCGGCAGTAACATCACGGCTCTCCTTGATGCATCTAATGTAACTGGCACAGCTGAATGCAGGCAATCTAATGCCTTCATGGGGTGGAAGTGGAAACTGAGTCTCAAGAGCCTCAGGTCCTAGGCCTGAGTTCATTCAGTTAGCAAAGTGGCAGTGCTCTGGTGGGTCGGAGCCCCTCACCCGAAGCCCAGAGTTGCTTTTTTTTTGGTACCAGGGATCGGACTCAGGTCCTTGCGCTTGTGCAGTAGGTGGCGAAACCAGAGCTAAATCCCCAGCCCCCAGAGTTGCTTCTTGCAGGGATCTCTCTCACCCGGATGAAGGTTACCTGGTTGGCAGAAAAGGGGAGAAAATGGAAAGTCCATTCCTTCCATCTGCTGACTGTAGTGGCGGCTGAGGTGCCTTCTACCTTCCGTGTTACACCGTCCTCCCTGAACCCTGGCGAGCTTCCTCACCCCCATCCACTGTGAGCCTGAGGGGCTCAGGCTTGGTAGGGGACTCAGAGTCCAAGCTTGGGGCTGTCATGTGGGTGCTGAGTTTTGCCCAGGGAGCTGCATTTTTAACCAGAGCCCTGCTGATCCCAATGCCCGCCGAGTGAGGGCCCCCCAGGAACAATGCCTGGGCACCTCACACCTCCAGGCCAGAACCCAGGGTTCTTGGGTGGTCACCTGAGCCATGTGTTGGGCTGGTGTCTCTTCACCTCCTCAGTGGTCCCAAGCACCTGCAGGAAGGGAGTCCGAATTCAGGTGCAGGGAGGGAGGCCCCATCCCACAGGGTCACCTCTGTGGGGAGAATCTGGGTCCCAGCGCATCATCCTCTGCTGTCACTGTCCCCTTGGCTGTCTGACTTCAGGGCAACAAACGGGGGAAGCCCCCACCTCGAGGGACAGTGGGAATCGAGGCTGGGATTGGCTGTTGAATCCACTGCACCAGGGCCAGGAGCTGCCAGGCCGGGTCACACCTCGGGCTGTGAACAGTGGAGCAGCCAGCAGGCCCAAGGCCACACCTCTGTCCCCTCAGGGCCTCCCGCCCAACCCTCCCCTGTCCCTCTTCCCAGCCCAGGGCGAGTACCCCTGAGCCCTGCAGAGGTGGGCATGCTAAGTATACACTGGGGTTCAGGCGTTGAGCAGTGGATAATTTGGGGCTTCCCTGGGAAGGCAGCGGGCACCTCCCATCGGCAGGGCCAGCCCAGGCAGATGCTGCAGAGCCAGAGGCCCCAGCCCTGCAGTCTCGCCGAGTCAGCAGAGCCAGGCAGGGCCACTGTCGCTAGAAAGAGAGCAGCTTCCAGCTGTCCTCTGTCACCGAAACCTCCTGGGGCTCACTGGGGCCTCGTGGGTGGGGACAGGGCCTACTCTGCCCTGCACAGGGGAGGGAGGGAAAGCTGTGAGGAGGAGACAGCATGGTGAGTGGGTGTCAGGAGAGGGGCTCGGGTCCCAGCTGCCAGCAGAGTGGGTGCAAATCCTGGGCAGGGATCGGTGTTTTGAGCCCAATTCAGGGCTAGGGTGAGCAGGGGTGGAGAGAAGCCTGCCCTCCTTCCCCGTTTTCTGTAACAGCCAAGTTGGAGGCCTGAGGTAGGGTTCAAGAGCCCCTTAGAATTGCACAGTTCAGCCCTGTCATATCCACAGAGGGGGAGGCAGGCTCAGAGAGGTCACCCTGCAAGGATGCGACTCAGGGACCTCGGCTCAGACGGGCGCAGTGGGCAGTGACTCTCCCAACAGATCTGGGCCCCAGTCTTGTCTCTGGCCTCAAATCTTCGGTCCCCATCTGCAAAATGGGTCCATGGGTTATGCACTCAGTGCTCACAGGGCCTGCACTCCAGGTGCCCTGGGGCCCGGGTGGGTGGCACAGGGGTGGGAGTTTGCAGAGAGCAGCTGTGCCCCGCTTGTGTTGCGGGTGACAAGGAGGCCATTCGCGTGATTAAGCAGGTCTGAGCCCCACAGAGAGAGGGAGGGAGCAGAGACAGGCCCAAAGGTTTCAGGAGACCTGGCTCCTGCCCACCCCAAGGCCTCACCGAGAGAGGACCTGTGGATTTCTGGGTACGGCAAGGCAGTGAGCACAGGCCTGGGAGGGCCCAGGAGCAGGGAGGCAGGGGCAGGACATGAAGGCAAAGTGGGATCACAGAGGAGTCCCTCCCTCGTCTGCCCACACAGCCTGGCAGACAGGCGCCTTTGGGCCGTGCCCAGAGGGCCTGCTCCCTACCCAGCAGTGCACAGAAGGAGGCCAGCTGCTGCTTCGGACTAGCTTGACATTCAGAACAGACATTTCTCGGGCCCCACATATGTTTCGAAGCAGCAGCATAGGTGGAAGTCTCTTGCTGAGGACCTGGGGAGGTTGCCCTGTCCACCAGGGTCCCAGAGCCCAGGTGCAGAGTGAGCTCCAGCAGCAGTTCCCAGACGCCATGAAATCCGCTGGGGCAGGAAGGGGGGCGGTGTCAGTGTGCAGTAACTTACTTCTCCCAGGTGGCTCCCATAGGCGCTGATTTGAGGACCACGCTCTCCCCCCTAGCTGCAGATGAGGCCGACCTGGGATTCTCTTCCCAGGCAGATGAAAGCGGACTCCAGAGGCCGAGACCCGGGTGGAGGAGGTGTTTTCCAGAGGGGTAGGTCCCAAATGCAGCTCACCTGGTGGATGCAATTGCAGCTCCACCGGATGAGGGCGTGAGCACCTCCCCCGCTGTTTTCCTGCAGACTTCTGGCCGCGTGACCTTGGGCTGTGCACAGCACTGGCAGCTGGGCTGGAGCCAAAGCTCATTAACCCCGTGCCCAGGGACAGCACAGTGCATCAGCGTTGAGCGAAGCCCCAGTGCCAGCAATGCAGGAGCAGGGCGCAGTGGCACCTGCACCATCTCCTCTGCACTCAGCCCGCACCCAGAGCCTCGCTGGCAGAGGTTCTCATTCTCTCATAAACCAGCTGGAGCCGATTTCTCCCGGGACAACCCAGGAAAGCAGGTGTCAGGTATTACTGTTAATGTCAGCGTGACCTTGGGCAATTCTCTTCGGTGGCTTCAATGTTTATTTAAGACAAGTTGGCCTGGGTCCTTCTCGAAGATGAAGCCTATAGGTTACCTGGGCTGGGCTCTCCCAGAGTCAGCTGTGATAAGTTTTTAAACCAGATTTTTTCTTTCTTTCAGTACCAGGGATCGAACTCAGGGCCTTACGCTTGCCAAGCAGGCGTGGCACAACTGAGCTACATCCCCAGCCCCCTAAAACCTGGCCTATAAGCCCCCCAGGAGTCATAAAGCAAGACTGCACTGCAGAAAGAGGGAAACTGAGGCTTAAGAAACTCTTGTGCAGCCCAAACTGCTCTTGAAGGTCCCCTCCTGTGACTATGAAGCTGTGCAGCTCTGTGCAGGAAATCTGCATAAAGTGCATGTGCAGATGCCCGACTAGGACAAGTCCTCATCTGAGAAGTATTGTTTCGTGTGTGGTACCGGGGATTGAACCCAGAGCCTTTTCACTGAGCTACATTCTCAGTCTCCCCCCGCCAACCCTTTCTAAATTTTAAGTTGAGGTCTTGCTAAGTTGCCCAGCTTGGGCTCAAAGTTGCAATCCTCCTGCCTCAGCCTCCCAGAGTGCTGGGATTACAGGCTTGCCTCGCCACACCTGGTGGGTTCTCTTTTAGGACTGAAAAATGACATTCTGTGTGTGCGCACACACATATATGAAGAAGTATGCAAGTGTGAGCACATCTTTATGCATTCATTCGTGTATGGACACTTGTTTGCACAAAAGGAGGCAGTCGTCTCTCAGATGAGTTCCTTTGGGAGCACACCAAGTAATGTGACTGGTGGGTCCTACAGCGGTTCAGGAATCAGCCAGTTCTCCATAGTGGCTGCACCAATCTGAACAGCCTTTAAAAGTGATCGTATTTAAACTGTCCCCTCCTCCCAACACCTCCCTCCAGGACTTTGCTAAGAGCTCCTAGCTCAGGCGGGGACCAGGTTTAGCTTGGTTTGATTTCATCTCTGTATACTATCCTCAGAGTTTCTCAGCTCTGGAAGTCACTGGCCACCTGTTGGGCTCCGAGTAAGCGGACTGTCACTCCCCTTCTCTCGGCACCAGCATTCCAGAGCTCTGGGGGCACCTGGATGCCCTGCAGTGAGCGGAGCAGCGGGAGGCCTGGGGTCCTCAAGCCAGAGCCAGCTCACCTGGGGCCCCTGTCTCTTCCTCCCCATCTGGACACCCAGGCTCTGTGCAGCCCTCCTGGGAGGGACCTGGTGAGAGAGCGGCCGCAGAGGCAGCTGTGTGAACCTATGCCTGAGAAAACCCACATTCCTTCAAGCTGCCGCTGCTGCCTTCGAGGAGGAGGAAGATGTGCACGGTGGCTGCTCCTAGCTGATGTCACCAGAAAGCTCTGCTGTCAGGCCCCCGCCACTATTCTTAGACTTCAGAACACACCTCCGCCTGTTAGAAGTCTCTCAACTCTAGCAGGCTTTTTATAAATAACTTAGAAACTTGTAGTGTTCAGAGGCTGCCAGAGAAGCGCTGCTTTCTTTTATCCAAGATGTTCAAAGGGCTTCCAAGGTGGCAGCAGCACACCCTGCCTGCCTGGGGCCTTGTAAAAGGTGTCACAGTATCGGTGACCGACACTTTCACCTGTGGAACTCCACTTCAGTAGTAATCGCTGCCAGGGAGCCAGAGCTGTGTGCTGAGACGGGTGCGGTCTGAATGCTGACCGGGTACCTCAGTGCAGCCGGGTGACTGGGGTTCACGAGCTGGCTCTGCCACTTCCTCGCCACGTGACCCTGGGGAAGTCACTTTGCTGCTCTTTGCCCCCACGTCTGCCCCCATAAAGCCAGAGCATGATGCCAGTGACAGCTGCCACCACCCCAGGCTGAGATACACAAAGCGCTTACTACAGCACAGGCACCGTCCTGGCCTCGTGGTGCCTCTGGGTGCTTGCAGCTCCCTGAGGAGGACCTGTTCTTCCAGCTCACACAGCCTCCCGCAAGCACCCACCTGCTTAGCAACAGAAGCAGGATTTGAACCTGTATCTCCCCCTCTGAGGCTCATAGTAATTATGAAGCTCTGCTGCCCCCTAGGGGATGGGTGTGGGGGGTTCCTATGACCAACAGGAAATCAATCCCTTTGGACCCATGGGGCGGGGCGGGCGGCTGGCTGGCTCCCTCTGCCGTTTCTTCCCCTTGATGCCCTGGGCAACTCAGTGCCCTCTCACCAAGCCTGTTTCTCCATCTATAAAATGGTTTATAACAGCAGCAGCCACTTGGCAGAGCAGTATGAGGATTAAAGTGGTCACTTTCATAAGGGCCCACCTTCGCCTGGCCCAGCAGGTGGGGACCATCACCAGCCTCCTCCGGCACCTGCTCACATCCATTAGGGCCCTGCAGGTGCCCCAGCCCTCTGTGTTTGGCACAGATCCATGGGTGACCTGAGCTGGCTGTTTCTGTGTGTAAATGTCCCCCTTGCTGGGTGTTAGGGCCCCTCCAAAGGCCAGTTCTCAGCCCTCCCTTCCAAACGATGCTCCTCCACCACCCCAGCTCACAGCCTGAGCCTGAGGAGCAGGAAGCCAGGGGCAGGAATCCTAAGGGGCTGCTCTGTGCTGTGTGAGCGGCACCAGCCCAGCAGGTGGGGAGAGTTCAGTGCGGAAGGAATCGGTGCAGGCAGGGAGGAGACTCCAGGGTGAGGCTAGGAGGGAGAGGGCACCTTGAGTTCCAACTGGGGCAGACTGAGGATTTCTGTCCTCTGACCTGGGGATCTGAGCTGAGACCACCGCCCCACGTGCAGGGACAAGGGGCCCGGAGTCTCCATCAGCACAGTGACAGGAGTTCAGCCGAGGTCCTGGAGAAATCGATGCCTCCTTCCTGGCCAAAGCGCCATCTGCAGCACTCTGCGTCTGGTGGGCACTGCCAGTGTGCTAGGGTGGCAGGGTGCTTTTTTATTTTTTAATGTGTCACTGAGGCTTGAACCTAGGGCCTTCACATTGAGCTGCATCCCCAGCACTTTTTATTTTTTATTTTGAGACAGGGAATGTCTAAATTGCTAAGTTACCCAGGCTGGCCTCAAACTTGTGATCCTCCTGCCTCAGCCTCTCAAAGTGCTGGGATTACAGGTGTGCTCCACCACGCCCAGCTCCTTTGACCTTTTTGGTCTTATACTATATGGAAAGTAACCCATGCATCATATTTGTGTATTTTGTTTTTTGGTTTTTTGGTACCAGGGATCAAACTCAGGACCTTGCACTTGAGAGACAGGCAGCGGAACCATTGAGCTAAATCCCCAGTCCTATATTTTGTATCTTAAGGATTTTAGATATTTAAGACTTTATCATCATCAAACAAAGGCCTTGTGATGAACTGGGTAATCAACTATGGCCAGAAGTTTTTTTGAATTTATGGCAAAATATACATAACATGAAATTTACTGTCTTAACTTTTTGTGTGTGTAGCACTGGGGATCAAACCTAGAGTTTTGTGTACACTAGGCAAGCGCTCTACCACCAAGCTCCATCCCTGCTCGCTAAGGGCCTAGCCTTAAATATGTAACCCTCCTGCCTCAACCTCCGGAGTAGCCGGGATTAAAGGCAGTGCCACCTTGCCCGGCCATTTCAGCCTTTTTTTTTTTTTTGGTACCAGGGATTGAACTCCAGTCCTTGAGCTTGCACAGCAGGCAGTGAAACCACTGAGCTAAATCCCTGGCCCCATTTCAGCCAAATTTTAACTTGAAAGTTTTGGGGGCCAGGGATTTAGTTCAGTGGTTCCGTCACTTGCCTTGCAAGCGCAAGGACCTGAGTTCAATCTCTGGTACCAAAAAAAAAAAAAAAAGAAAGTTTTTAGAGAAGTTTACTAAGTTTATAAACAGCTTGTTACTGTTTAAGACAACTGAGATTTGCCATATTAAAAAGTTCAATTTAGTATTTGTATAAGAGTCCATGAAGAAGTGCTTGGGAAGGTTTTGTAAATTGCTTAAGAAGAAATCAAATATATTAAATCTGCTAGTGCACTTAAAAGTACTCAATGGAATCTGGTTAAGTGCTTTAAAAATATAGTCAATTTATAAGAAAAAATACTGATAGCCATAAATTCAACACACAATCTTACAGAAGCCTGGGGTTTTGAATTTGTATTTATAATGAGTAGAATATATTCATTTTTAATTTTCAAGGGTTTTTCTGGGGAGGGGGTGCTGAGGATTGAACCCTGGATCTCATGCATGCTAAACATGTGCTCTACCTAGCTACACCCTCATCCAGCCCAGAATACTAATTTTTAAAACCAACAAGGTAGTCCCTGAATGATCTTTCGCAAAAGCCTTTAAGGATACCAACCTCCCCCCATCCAGTCTTGAAAGCACTTGTTCGCAAAAGCCTTCACTAATCATGGTTTCCAAACCTGTGTGTGCACAGCAGCCTGGACTGGGGGGGTCGTTGCTACAGATCCGGCTCCAGCCCAAGCTCCTGGCCATGTGGGTTTGGGGCCTAAGAACCTGCATTTCTGACAACGCCCGGGTTGGCCCAGGAGCCAGACTTTGAGACCACGGGGTGGGGGGTGGCCGCTGGCACGGGCTCGGCTGCTCAGCTGGTTCCTGCACTCGGGCTGTATTTACCTCCTCTATCTCTGCGCGATACTATCCTTGCCTCGCAGGGCTGCTATATTCGATGCCGGTGCAGTAGGCTGGTGGCGCGATCGCTTTACTGTCCCGTGCCAGGCATGCCTCGGAGCCTGGTGCCTTGTCTCCCATGCACCCAGCAGGCACCGACCCCGTGACCCGGAAGCAGTGCAGGTCGGTCCTGGGCGCAAGGCTGAACAGGCACAGGGCTGGCCTTGCCACAAGGGTGGGAGAGAGGAGAGGCCGAGGGCGCAGTGCGGGAAGGTCTCTGCCCGAGAGCTGGGAGTGTCTGCCTTGGAGAGTCCCAAGGCCACGCAGGGCCAGCAGCCGCCCGAGCCCTACCTTCTGCAGACCTGGCGGGCCTTGTGAGGCTCCTGTGGGCCACAGGAAGAGGCCTAGCGCCTGTCACGGAGAACGTGATGCCGGATGACCCTCACCCTCCAGGGCAAGAGTCCCCATGAAGGCAGCCCGGGCTGGGGTGTGGGGGTGGGGGGTTGGGGGCGGGGCTGCGTCACCAGGGTAAGGACGCAGACACAGTGGTTTCGATGCTGCTCCAGGGCACTCTCAAGGGATGCTAGCTGCCTCCTGCCTGTTCTTGGGGTGATGTCTGTTATCCCCCAGCACTCCAGCCTGTTTTGTCCAGCTGGTCCCTGGAGCTCGGACACGGTGGGAGGACGCAGGCCGGGCTTCTCCAGGCCTGACAAGAGGAGACAGAGACTCGCTCCAGCTGGGACTTCCTAGCCCTTGGGCCCCCAGAGCTTCGCCGTCACCAGGGAATTTCTCCTTACGGTGTGTATGTTTGATTGGAAGGAGAACTGGGAAAATTTCAACGCTGCAAAGCCACTGGGGAAGGCACTAAGGGTACTAAGCCGCCTTCTCTTTCCACTAATGAGGCCTGGTTTCTAAAAGAATACAAGAGAGCATAATTTAGCTTATTTGGGACTTGTTAGACTGCAAATGAATACTTGGTGAAGTCATCAAAATATATATTATCCCCCTTATCAAATAGCTGGAGATGGGAATTTTCAGGGTTGACAGAAGAACTCAGCAAGTTTGGGGCTCTGGGCTGGTGTTTCTATAATTCTTTAGACCTTTTCTTCATGGTTGCAATGTGGCTGCAGCAGCACCAGGAATCACATTCATTCTTGATATGTCTCATATTAGGAAGAGAAGAGGCAAAAATGCAAGATTCTTTTCTTTGATCATGGAGTTTGCTGTTACCAACCTTTCTTGGTTGTATGCCAGATGGTGTCACACTTCCTTTCTCAGGTCAATCATTGGCAAGGTGGGTTAACCATCTTGGCTTCAACTATTCACAATTAGTTCACCAACTGAAACTAGAGCTAGTCTGGATCTGTTTATAAGGAAGAGGAGATGAGGCATCCTCAGTTCAGGTTAGCAAATGCCAGACACCACACGAGGTGCAGGAAATGGAGAGGCCCCTGGGCCTGCTCGAAGGAGCTTAAAGCTTTCTGGGCACACAGGCAGGAAACGGAAATTTAGCGGGTCACAGGCTGTCCCAGGGTAGTACCCGGGGAGAGTAGACAGGCCGAGGGCAGCCAGGGAGGGCTGTGTGGGTGACGCTGAGTCAGGCGGCTCCTGCAGAGAGAGGCTGACACCGTGCCTGGCACTGGGGGTGGAGACAGGGGTGATGACGGCTCTGGACAGAGGGGAAGAGCTGCGCGCCACTCATCATGTGTAAGGGATCACAAGTGTAGCAGAGAGCAGAGCCTGCCAACAGAGGGCAGGGAGCTGGGCTCTGGAGTTTGGGCGCCACCCCGAGGGCCCCGAGAAGCCATCAAGCAAGGGAGCAACTTGGGAGACACAGACAGACAGGATGGGCAACGGCAGGAGTTCATCTGCATCCGGGAACCGTACCGTGCAGGCCCGGTATGAGACCACAGGACCCCTCCTCCCGAGGCCCTCAGCCCCCTGCACGCTCTCAGATGGGGTCTGGAGGGCAAGAGCAAGGTGCCCGCGGCACTGTGTGGTTCTAGGCCTCAGGGGCCATAGCAGGTCTCGGTCCAGGGTGGGAGCAGAGACGGTTTCCTTCTTCTCCGAGTCACTGACCGAAGAGGAGGAAGTGCAGGATTGGTCCACCTGCAACATCTGCAACATCCCAGAGACTACTCAAGGCCTGCCGAGCTGCTGCTGAGCCCTGGCGCAGGCCATGTCGGGAGCCTCACTGCGGGACCAGGCCTTCCCACCCCAGCCGCAGCGGCTCCCCTCGGCGCTTGAATGTAGCGTAAAAGGACACAGAGACGGGACCTCTGAGAGGAGCCAGGTGGGCTCCAGGCAGGGGCCAGGCATCAGAGAGGAAGGGACACTGGTTACCTTCAGCAGGTGGGTGGTGCCCACCATCTCTGCAGCCTTGGACAATGACAGAAACGGTCAGACAAGCCAGCAACACATGTGGCTTTCTTCTGGGTCACCAGGGAAGGAAATGGAAAGTTGCCTTTGACCCTCTCCTTCTCAAGTGGGAACTAGGTTTCCTTGGAGGGGACTGCAGAGCCCAGACTGTGGGCAGCTGGCAGGACACCCGAGCCACCTTGTCTGGCACCACCTCCCCCTGGCCGTCTCAGCGCTCCCTGCCCCTCAGTCCTCCTTGGGCGGTGGCGGAGTGCCAGGAGCTTATGTAGTGGTGTTCGCTGGGTTTGCTCTGCTGCCTACACTGGTGATGCACGCAGAGTGTCCCTCACTAGACAGGGACCACAGCAGAGTATCACTAGGAGGTTGAACTACAAAGCATCGCCCCCCTTCCCCCTCACCCTGGAGCCATCTGTGTGTCTTTACTACCCCAGGCACAGTGCTGCTGGGGACTTCTGTCCCCGTCCACAGGGCTCGCTTTGGGGCTGGCACTCGGCATGCCATGGAGCCACCGCCTGTCAGACCGGGAACCGGCCCCGTGGCTCAGCAACAGCATGTCCATCCCCAGCTCGGAGCAGAACAGAACCAAAGTTAAGAGAGCGACAAGTGGTAAGTGGCGCTCGGAGGATTTCTGGGAATTATTAGGGAAGAGGTCAGTGGGAGATCTAACGTAAGCAGAGGGGATCTGGGCTGTTGGTCAGTACAGTGAGCTGGCCTCTGGTGATGAAGGACTGGCCCAGCAAGCTCAGAGGGAGGGAAGGAGACAGGGTGAGCAGGTGAGAGCCCTGCATTGCTGGCTGGTTCGCACTGAGAGGAGATGTGGTTCCATCCCCCGTGGGCGAGGCTGCTGAGAACCACCCTGAGGCACGCAGGGTTAAACCACAGCTCGCTGACCAATGCTCTTGCACCCTGGCCCAAACGGTTGCTCTCTGCCAATGTGGCAGATTGAATTAAGAGCAGAGCGAACGCCCAGCCTTGGAGTAGGGCATCTGGGTCACCAAAGAGAGTGTTCGGCGTGGGCTTAAAATTTCATGGGGGGTTATTCACAGCAGCAATTCACAACAGCTCAAAGGTAGAAACGGCTCAGATGCCCGTCAATGGCTGAATGGAGAAACAAAATGTGCTTTACCCATAAATGGAATAGTATTTGGCCATAAAAAGGAGTGAACCACGGAGCATTCTATATACAGCTGCATGGCTGAAGCGTGAAACCATTGTGCTAAGCGGAAGAAGCTGGACGCCAAAGGCCACGCAGTCTGATTCCACTTCTGTGCAAAAGGGTCCGGAAGTCACAATCTATAGATGAGGGCATACTGACGGTTGCTGGGGCCTGAGGGGGCTCAGGGCTTAGGTCCGAGTGTTATGCTGAGGATAAATCCTGGGACTAGAGGTCGGGAGTGGCTGCACAACGTCGCCTACTGCGGGCCACTGAATCTTAAGCTTGAAAATGATTAAATTTCTGTCATGTGAGTTTTACCTGCTGGCAGGGAAAGGGTGTGATTAAGGAACACAGTGGCAAAGGGCAGCTGGAGAGGGACAGCACTGGACGGTAGGCCAGAAAGCCCCGGAGTGGAGGCCCGTACAATGTAAGGCCTTGGTGGGGAAGCGGCGGGGAAACCGCGAGTGACACACGGGAGATTAAGGGAGAAGTCACAGTGCGTTGGCGACAAGAAAGCAATGGCCTTATTCAAAGTGCTCTCTAGCTTTCTCCAAATCCCACAGCTTGAATACACAGATGTCCATTAAGAGCTGTCACCAACCAGGCCTGTATCCCTGCTAATTGGGAGGCTGATGCAGGAGGATCACAAGCTTGAGCCCAGACTGAGCAACTTAGCGAGACACCTTGAAGGGAAGGCAGGGGAGAGAAGAGAAAGGCAGCTGCTTCTGCAGCAACCGAATGAAATCACCACGCAGCACAGGCCTGTGAAACATTTCTCAGTTAAACAACAGACTCACCTCAGCTAATGTAAGACTCAGACAGCCCCTGATGGTCAGGAGTGGAGAGCGGCACGAGGATGCAGGGCAGGCAGGAACACTCTGGAGCTAGGAGCTTGTGAAAACACAGGGGTGATCTCAGAGCGGCCCCAACCTGGAGTGTGAAGAGGAGCAAGGAACGGCTCCCCCCGGGACAGGCCCCTACACCACTCCTGATGGGACAGGAGGGGCCCCGGGGAGTAGGAACGAAGGAGTCCCTCAGTGAGTCAGAGGTCACCCATGGCCAGGGCAGGGCCTGCAAAGCCCCAGAGCACGTCAGCCCTGCAAAGACCTGCGGCTTCTCTGCATCTTGTTCCTCCTCCTTCCAACTGCGAGTCTGACTGGCCCTGCCTCACCTGTGTGGCACGTGGGCTGAGGCCCAGCTGGCTCCCGGTTCATGGTGGCTGGTCCTCAAGGCTGACGGAGGAGCACTTGCACCAGCTGCGAGAACTGGGATCCAGGGACAGGGTGAGACTCCGTGAGAGACTCCTCCAAGCAGGGGCTGGGCCCTCAGCTCCCTCCAGGCAGGCGTTTCCCAGCCTCCTCTGGGGCAGGGTGTGGGCCCAGCTCACTGCACACGCAGGTGCAGGTGTGGTGACAGAGACCTGCCCCAGATCCTGTTCCTCCTCTCTCCTGCAGCCACATGCACTGGGACCCGAATCTGTGACAGCAATGGGACCCATAAGGAGGACCCCACTGTCTGCTGCATCCTGCGGAAGCACGGTGACCAAGCTGGAGACAGGTGATGCTTATTGCCTAGGTGGCCTGACGGCCCTCGCTGTCTCTTGCACGGGGGCAGTACACTGTCGGCTGGACACAGGTCACTCTCCTCCTCCCTGGAGTGGAGTGAGGCTACACGGGCCACCTGAGAACTGGATGAGCTTTCCCGTCAGGATAGGAGAGAAGGCCCCAGGTGCTCCTGGAGGCCACCAGGAGGCCTGGATCTCACATGCCTGTGTGTGGGCACCCTGCCAACCCATTTCCCTGCCAGGATTGCTTCAGCAACAAAGTCCTACTGTTTGAGCCGCAGTGTGCTTTGGGGTCTATTCAGTACAGAACTAGCATTACGCTACTACAATCACTACATGGACATCACACACTTATTCTACAGCTGCAGTTTTACTCGCCGAGAGAATGTCCTGGAGCCTCAAGATTCTGGATTTTCATCACCAAAATGTTAGGCCGACAGCACTGTGAGGGAGCTGCTCATGCTGAGTGTGCTGTGAAGGGCTCAGAGATTCCTGGTGACCCCGGCGCCAGCTGGGCTCCAAGTCCTGGCCCCTGTGGGGTTCCCCAACTGCATGGCCAGAGACTACAGGGTCACAAACTGGACCAGAGGCCTCACCTAGCTGCAGCCTGCTTTGGGATAGCCCTTGAACTAAATACTTTGCTTTTCTTAAACACCTTTAAAAACAAACGAGGACCAAGGGACATAAAAAGAATTAAGATGTGTTACATACATGTACCAACCCCCACAGTGTCAGCATTAATGCCCACAAACATGTACTGATAAAAATAAAAGTTAAAAATAACTAATTAAAAACATGCAACACAGATGATACACAGCCTACAAACACTAAAATATGTGCTACCTGGTCCTGCCTCTGAGTTGCTGGAGGATTACAGAGAGCCAGTGTCTGGCTCCAAGTTCACACACAGTACAAAGACATACAATATAGACATCAGCGCCTGCTGAGAGTCATGTAGCCAAATCCTGCACTTTGTCCAAGTGAACATTTTCTTGTTCCTTCCTAAAAGTCAAAACAAAACAAAAAACATGAAGAGCTACATTTGGATTAGTATGGCCTCAGATACTTTTAAAATTAAAAACTTATAGTCTCATAAAAAGTCTAATTTCTCCTATTTGAAGCTCAGACTAAGAAAAAGAAGGCTGAAGAAGGCCTGGGCCCTGGCGGGCTGGTTCAGTTTAGTGTGTTAGGACAGATCAAATCATTTCAGGGTGAGCACCAGGCTAAGCAGTATGAAATGTAGGGCCGAGCTGACAACAGTGCTGCAAGCTGCTGTCTCCATCACGATCCTGCTGTGTCAGTGCACTTGCAAAGGCCTGCGGGATCTTAGGTGGAGAGAAAGCAGGCCTCTCAGAGTCCGAGCGAGTGCGCAGACCATGGTCGCGAACACGGCAGTGGGGACAGCAGGTCTGATTTTGGGCAGGCCAGCTTTGGACATCTTCTGAGAGACAGCTCTCCAAAGTGGATCTGCAAACAGCAGCCCTCGGGGTGCCACGCATGTCACGGGAGGACAGTTCCAGAGCCTACTAAGGAAGTCTAGGCCCACCCTCCTCTCCCCTTGGAAAGCCATGAGCTCGGGTGTGAAACTTGGTGGAAACAGTGCTCCAGGAAATGGCTCGCCGGGCGGAGGCAGCCCTCAGCTCTGCCTCTGCAGCACAGGCGTGCTGGCTGGTACTCTGGACACACTGCTGGGCACAGCTGTGCGGGTCCACAGTGACAAACCACGCCTCAGACCTGGCTTTGCCTCCAGCACCCGCGGCTCTTCCATGTATTTCCATATAATTAAAAAGGTGCCACTTCTGCAGCAACCAGCCACTGAGATTGTTAGAACTCATAAAGTCACTATCTGGCAAGGAAACTGCAGTACAAAGGTACGCTGCTCACTCACTAATGTTGAGAAAAATTCAGTGGAACAAATCTTTCAAACTTAGATCAGAAGAGCAATGAGAGATCTTTCCCTCACTGTGGAGGGGCTTTTTGTTCTGAGACGAAACTGGGCAGGCTGTTTGCATGGTTTCTCTGGATAAGTTCCATTTATTAATCATTGTACAAAAAAAAAATCTTGGCATTCATTTGAAGAGAAAGAAGTTACTATATCCAAATATTTTAATATTTTAACATTGTGAAAGTTCTACTTTTCTAACAGGGCTTTTTCAAATGGAGAAAACTTTTGGAAAAATTTTTTAAAAAGAAACATGATTTATTAGAGTACAGGATCCAAAACACGTTTTTAGAAAAATATAAAGTGCCCAAATACCAACTTACACAGGTGATGATACAGGCTTCCTGGAGCCAAATGAAGCATTCATGAAGAAACACATTTAAAAACAGTCAGTCTAGATACATATTTACAGTCGGGTCAGTAAAGGTAAAACCATTGTTCTCGGCTTTGATGTTATTCTAAGAAAAAAGGAAATCAAACCAGAAAACCAACAATTATTAACTCTCAGCATGCTCCACAGTTTCTTAGTAACGCATCTCAATGTTAATCCCATATTGTCTAATTTTTACCTTTAAATGAGCAGTACAAAATCCCTGCAACTTCAGGCAGGCTAGGTGTTGTGAGTGGTCACGTTATCAAATGCAAATTCAAATCATCTGATTTTGGATTTGACTGATGAGGAACATGGACACTGGGTGGTAGCTGTTCAGGCTGGAAGGAGCCCGCTGCTAAATCCCCGTCTCTTTCTAGTAACTGCCTACTGGCCTTTACTTGCTAATAAGTGGTCTCAGGGGGTTCCCCAAATCTTGGTCACCCCAGGGTTCCCAAAGGGTAGACAAAAAAGCAGCCATTCAGCGTGGCGTGGAAATACTGCATGCAATGACAGATAGGTGGCAAGGCTGCTGAATTGCAGCCCCTAAAGCCTCATTCACTAGAGTGACTGGATTATGTATTTTAAATGCAGATTGCAACGTAACTAGGTCCTAACTCCGGAAGTTAGCTTCTACTGGTTAATTACAAGACAGCTGACTTGAAAACTGGCAGGTCGTGAGTAGTGGGAGTTCCAAAGCTGCAGAAAGACTCGGTCGCTTCACGCTCGGTTGCTAAGAACACGGAAAGGAGCCAGGGGGTCTGAAGTCAGACAGACTCGCCCGGGGGGGCGCAGGAACAAGCTTTGTCCTGGTGCCTTTGGGGCACTGGTGGTGGAGAAGCCAGGTTGCATGCATACCTTCTCTCCCAAGAGCCCAACACTCTGAAAATTAAAGACATTTCTTCATTCTACCCTGCCACATTCAAAAGGGTCTGGAAGTGATTCTCAGGAATGACAAGGGGTATGAACTCTCTCTCTTCTTAATTAAGGTTCATTAGTTCTCTTTTTATTTTGATTAGAAAAACAAGACCCCATCTTTTGGTCTTTGGAGACCAGCGAGTATGATTTCTAACAGGAAATATTTCAACATCAGACTTGTAAGTCTCACTACAGAACAGAGCCCATCGCTGATTTAAGACCTACTCATGATACTGGAGCAGATTTTTAAAATTAAAAAAAAAAGTAGTCATTTCAAGAAAGGAATAGTAGATGAATGTGGAAAAGTCCACTCATAAAGGCCATTATTATGCATTTTCTCAAAGAATCTTATGTAGTAAAATAGAAAGCTCGTGATTTGTAGAAATGTGCATAAATCCGAGAGAGTTATATGGAAGGGAAAACTGTCATTCTCCCAATTTAAATAAAAAAAAGATAAACACTTGAAATCTGTGTTTCATGTATTAGCAAAAAAATAAATTCTAATGATTCTAATTACCATTAGCTTGTTAATGTCTCCATCCGCAAGATGCTGCCAAGTTAGTGTACAACTTTACCTCTGAATATGCAACTAAATTCAGGGTAAAAAGACAAACAATCCTGACTGAGGACTGCACATGTTCTATAGAGAAATCAAAGAAATTATTGCAAATGTGTAACCCCATCTGTCCAGCAAATGAAATGTTCTGAGACAAATGTAGACAGACGTAGGATGGAAGGTGGATAAAAAAGAATGCAGTATTGACTGTGAGACCTCATGAAGACAGAATGTCACAAACTGTCACCACAGGACAAGCGTACAAGCCATGCCACTGAACACAGTGCCTTTCAAGTGAATTCACTAGTGTAGGCGGAGAGCAACATTGTCTTTGCAGCTGGAGGAGAGCACACGTCATTTAACTTAGGAGGAGGCAACCAGCGCGACGGGTGAGGTGGCTTTCCTGGTGGTGTGACTCCGAGGGAGCCGCGGGTGCATCTCCTTCTAGAATCCTGTCCTCTTGGAAGATAGCAGCAGCAAAGGTACAATGTCCTCTACCAGACTTTACTCATCTATGTTCTCTTTCTTTGCACTGTAAATATTCTGCACCGTTTCATAGACAAACTCCAGGTCTTCTGGATATCGAATTTCTAGCTCAGCGTTTGGGATGTAGTGAGTGCCGGTAAACTCTGAGAAATAGCGTCCCACATCTGGGTGCGAGATTTCTTGAGGCTCCACGTTATATTCCAAGTTTTCTGTTGGCAAAGAGGCACATGGACACTGATGTTAACATTCCAACATCTGCAGCACTTTTCTCAGAGAGCCTCCTAGCATCCCTCTCAAGTGGCATTTTGGAGGTGGAAGGCAGGAAAGACCAAAGATGTCACCGGGAGCAATGGCAGCTCCACACATAACAGAAATACTTCCCTATTCTCTGAGCAAGACGGGAGGCTCCCCAACTGCAGTGGAGTCACCTTGGCACTGCAAACTAGAGACGCATCACACCCCTTGCTCTGACCTAACAGAGCAGAAGCTCAGGACAAGATGGTCCTCGCCTGCTCATTCCTGCCACTGACTAAGCTTCAGAAGCTGCCTTGTCACTTGGTTACAGGTGACACGCTCAGGCCTGCCGTGCTCTGTCTACCAAGAGGAACCCCTGCCACACAAATCGCTCTCTCCTCCCATTCATTGGCCATGCGCTCCCCTCAGAGAGCAGGCCCTTCCCAGGGTCAATTAGAGGCCCCAGGCCCTAGTCTGCCCACAGAGCAATAGGAAATACGCCTCTGAATGACGGTGACAACAGCACTGCAGGCAGCACACTTAAAAGACAGAAGTCCTAGGGCCGGGGATTTAGCTCAGCGGTTTCATCGCCTGCTGCACAAGCGCAAGGACCCGAGTTCCATCCCCAGTACCCCGCCCCCCCCAAAAAGACAGAAGTCCTTTTGCACAGCTCGCCCCCATCTATATCTGGAACATGGCTCCCCTGGGGCCTAGTGGAAAAATAGGGCCTTGAGCACCTTTTTCTGTTGGCCACAGACTGGGTGCGACCCCTAACCCAGAAGAAGCCCAGCAATGTTCTCCACGGCCTGGTTCCCGGAAGGGGCTAGGTGGCAGAATCCTTCACACCCTGCATTCCCAGGGCCACCTCCCTCCTGCTGAGCCGCAGCCACACTGTGACTGTCAAGTGAGTCCCCAGCAAGGCCACCCGCAAGGCTCACAACAGGAGGACGGCACGTGGTCTCCTAAGCAGACACCCTGAACACAAAGCCGAGGCACCGAGGCCCGATGTCCTCAGGCACACAGGGCAACACAGACATTGTTGGGACAATGTGACAACACTACTGCAAAGAACCCTAAATCTAGGCCCCAAACCGGGAGCCTTTCTGCAAAGTCCAGGCAGGGACATACTGAGGTAAACGACACTCCAGGAGAGTGGACTGCCCAGTGCCCCCTTCTGGCTCGGAAAAGACAAGGACTGGGCTTGGCACATTTGCCTGCTGGGGTTCTGAGCCTGCTAAGCAGTAAGAGCGGAAAGAAGGAAACCAGTTTCTTTATGGGAGAAACACAATGATGAAGTTGGCAACTGTGTGTCTCAGCAAGGGAAAATATCAATCTGTAAAATAAGAAGGCTTTCAAAAAATATATATATATTTTTTGGTACCAGGGATCGAACTTGGGTCTTTGCGCTTGAGCAGCAGACGGCGAAACCACTGAGCTAAATCCCTGGACCCAAAAAATATGTTTTAAGAGAAATGAAGAAGCACAGAACTTAAACTGAGCAAAAGATGAACCAATGAACATTTAAACGTTCTGGAAAATCCTGAACAGTCTTTCAGGATGCCCTGAAACTGTCAGAGACATGCGTTTATTTAAAATTTTCAAAATATGAGTCCATACTGGGGACAAACTGCCTTTGAGCCCGTGGCATCCCTTGCTCCCGAGGGGCCCCACCAGCAGTGTGTGTCTTTCTTAGTGAACATCCTCGACATACTCAGAGAACATGGGAACTTGTTTTACGTGTGCTTATTTACACAAAATGTAGTTGAAGCATTTAACCGAAACTGGATAATTTCAGTGTTGCTTAGTATTCCACAGTCTAAGCAGATGCCCCACTGTCCAGGCAAGTCCTTAAGAATGACAAGTGTTTTGCTATTTTCAATAAGGGACCACCACCCTTGTAAAAAAAATAATGTCAAAGAAGCCCCTGAAATGCTGTCACTTTTACACCCACCTCCAGTATGGGGGTCCTCACTCACATCACCACACTTGCCACCATGTACGGACTGCTTAGTGGGAACTGACACTGGGTGAGGACATATCTTCCAGGCATGCTACCAGGTGGAATTTGTGTTATGAAACATTTAAGCACTAGATCTCCCATGGCAGCTTAACTCCTGACCTTCCTCTATGAATGGCTGACTTAAATCCAGAGCATCTGCAAGCTTGTTTCACTGGTACCAGAAAGTCTGCATGGAAGTTGGGAGGAGTTGCTTCTCTCCCACCTGGTGCCAAGGCAGTGCTGAAGGGTGCCCCCTGGTGGCAACAGGAAGTTACGAACAGGCAAGATGCTACTCAGGTGAAATCTAACACACGGAGGGAAGAATTAGGGGAGAATTCTCCTACGCTGTGCAGACTAAAACTGTTAATAAAGACACCATCCATGTTTGTGGTTTCAATTCATTCTTCAACTCTCTGTGGAGGATTAATAATTAGAAAAGCATTACCAATGGTCTCAAGTTAATAGGATCACCGAAGTCAAAGGCTGAAAATTTAGATGGAGAAAAATGTAAAACAAAATAAATTAACCTAGAGACATTCAAAAATATATCTCAATGTGTTTTCATAATTTAGCCTCTCTGTTCAGTGTGGTGGCTCCTGCCTGTTATCCCAGTACTCTGGGAGGCTGAGGCAGAAGGATCGTAAGTTTGAGCTTAGCTTAGGGTACTTTAGTGACTTAGTGAGACTTATCTAAACATAAAAAATAAAAAGGGCTGAGGCTGGGGCTGGGGCTCAGTGAAAAGGTCCTGGGCTCAATCCCCAGTACCTCCCACAAAAGTCTCTCGAGGTCTCAGCTCAGCATGGGCTAATGGGAGCATAAAGTTATCTCAAACGCAGATAGAACACTGAATAAATAAAAATCTAGGAATAAATCTATGGTAGGAGATGGGTAGGGAGAGGGATTGAGGGGGAAAGGCAGGGCAGGAGAGGAAAGCTCTTGTTCACAGAATTGAGAGCAAAAGCAGAAACTTCCCATGCTTCAGTTCTTGTGTAATGATTTAGGCAGGGACAGTTAACTGATGCTGGAACAAACTGTAATGTCACAGGCCGCTGGGAAAAGAGGTACACACAAATGCCACAGTATGACTTCATGGATTCCCTGCTAATTACAGAGGGAAAACTGAGCCTTACGCAGTCACTTCATCAAACCCAGCATCGCTCTTGACGGGCACTGAGAGCCAGGGGCAGTAGGTGAGAGCGACGAGAAGCAGACAGCACTGACATCTAGTGCCCTTGGGAAAACGTTTACCCTCATCCAATCAAGCCTCTGACTGAACTTCTGGTTCGCAGACAGTGAGACAAATCCAGTATTAGACAGTTTGCAAGACGACTGACCTGGATTCTTCTAAGTCAAAGTCATGACAGAAGAGGAGAAAGATGAAGAATGAGTAACTGTTCTTTTTTTTTCAGTACCAGGGATCAAACTCAGGACCTTGTGCTTGCGAGGCAGGCAGCGGAACCACTGAGCTAAATCCCCGGCCCTAATAATAAATTCTTTAGAAGACTTCTTATGGCAACTGGGAAATCTGAAAAAAGCTGAGTGAACACCAGATATTATGAAATACTGTTATCTGGTTAGTGTGATACTGTTACTGTTTCAACACAGGGAAACGTCCTCATTCACAGATGCCTGATTAACAATATTCTTTCAAATGGTAAAGAAAAAAGCCAGAATCTCTATCTACAGACGAAACACAGTGTTATCTGTTGAGCCTCCTGGAGGATCAATGGGGGTAACTGATTCTGACACTCATTCACTGGCACTTCTAGTTGTCTCCCTGTCTCTCTTTCTGGGACAGGAACCCCCCCCCCCCACCTTCCGCTGGGGTCTGGAATGACCCAAGGTGTGGGAGACATCCTGAGTGGAGGGGGCAGACTCAGCCACTGCAGTCCTGAGCTGCGGCCCTGTCATTCCACAGAAACACTGGATGTGAGGTGCTGATCAGGACAGGGTGCTCAGTGAAGTGCAGGGCAGGAGTGAGAAAGGCTTGAGGAAGGAAGTGACATTAAACCAGACCTCCTGTTGTCAGGAGCAGCCATCTGTATGAAGACCTGGAGGCGAGCAAGAATGTTTAAGGAACAAAAATGTGAATGGCTGGGTAGCACGTATGGCAGGACAGAAGGGAGATGGGGCAGGGGGCAGCCTAAGCTGCAGTGGTGTGGCTCAGGAAATGGCCCGTGGGAGGGCAGGCCTGGGAGGCCTGTGACTACCTCAGGAGGTAGTCAGTGACATAGGCGAAGTCCACTCCCCAGCAGCAGAGCAGCCACAGCTATGCAGTGTCAGCTCGGACTAGCAAGGGAGTGATGAGCACAATGGAGCCAGAGCAGAAAGAGCTGCCCGGAGTGGTGTCACACGGTGAGACAGTACACACGGGGGCACCCGACAGGGGCCACACGGGCTCAGGGTGAACGGCACAGGAGTGGCCTGAAGACCCCAAGTGCCCTCAGAGGCAGGAGGGTGTGCAAGAAAGGCGGGAAGGCCAGGGGACTCTAAAGTCACCAGCATGCTAAGAGTCAAGTGTCCCAGAGCCACGGACATGGCCCAGGAGAGGACACTGTGTGGGTGCCGGGAGCTGTGAAGGGGCTCCTCCTCACCTCTGCCCCACACCTCCGGAAACAGAGGTCCCTGTGCGATATGGGAAAATCACGAGGAGCAGTGTAGGAACAGCTCTGGCACTAAGGCTGTCTAAGCACTGAAACCGCCAATTAAACAAGGCAGGCTGCTAACATTATTCAAAATCACTCAGTGCAATCCAAATTTTAGAGATGGTGACAGTGAAAGGCAGACATTATTTTTCAGTAATGAATACTTTGACTATCAACCTCACGTGGCACGTTAACTCGGTGAGAGGTGAATTCCTTCCTGCATCTTCAACAGGACAGACTCAGGAAACCTAAAGCCAAATAGCTATTCCAAAAAGCCATTTTCTAGTCAACGTGTTTCTGGAAACTCAGTACCAAATACTCCAAGTCTTCATGCCAGCCCTGCAGAGACAATGACTGCTGGCAATGAAGCTGGGAAGAAAATTCCCTGTGACTCTTGTGACACCTGGTGCGAAGCACAGCGTAAGATCAGACCGCCCTGCGTGTCACTCAATAATTCCCAAATCACTTTGAGTTTCAGAAATGACTGGCATGACTTTTGGACACAGCTTCAAAAGTGAAAGCACATCGCTGCTGGAGGCTCCACCAGATAAGGGCACACAGGGACCCCCTCTTCCACCTTGTCAGCAACTGGCAGAGGCTGAAGGACCCGCAGTCTCGCAGCACAGCTACAGAGGCTCCGCCCTCGGCCTCTGCTGAATTAACAATGATTAGTACGAAAACTTCTACCAGCCTTTTTCCCCCGGTGCCGGGGCTGAAGCCAGGGGTGTGCACATGTGAGTGTGTTAGACAAGCGCTCTGTCACGGAGCTACAGCTCAGCCCTTTCCAGCCTCTGGGCAGTGTCTGACTTTTGCTTGGTTTTTTTTTGAGACAGAGTCTTGCTACGTAGTTCAGGCTGGCCTTGAACTTGCTGTATAGCCCACACTGGCCTTGCATTCATGGCAATCCTCCTGGCTCAGCCTCCCCAGTGCTGGGATTGCAGGCGTGCGCCACCAGGCCTGCCATGTCTGACATTCTTATACCAGTATTTCTGTCACTGGACTCAGTCAGGTCAAACCTCATGTCTTGGTCCAGACGTGAAAGGCACGTTGTGATGGTGAGAGATGAGGCTCTCTGCCAAGCGGCCTGGCTGTGAACTTACACTCGTGTGAAATGATGATGACAGTGATGGCTCTCCAATGCAGCTAACAGAGATCAGGACGCTGCCGGTCACACTATGACAGCGTCCACGCTCCATTTGTAATAAGATTAACGTGAATAGTTTGGTCAACACACAATACTCTCAAATTCTATCTATTAAACAGAGAAGCAATTCAGCAGGGACAAAGGAAAGGCAGCCTCACACTGAAGGCCTGTCTCCTCAGGCTCCGTCAGTCCCCATCTCAGATATGCCCTGGCCGGACACCTGTTAAAAGATGGCAGTTGCCCCAAAAGTTACCAAGCACCTAGCTGTTGGCTAGGGCAGTTGATGCGCGGCAGTGGACTGCAGTTCCCACAAATGGCCACACGAGGGCAACTCTGGGGGCAGTGCAGCTGGCTGCAGGTCCCCAGGCTACAGGTGCAGGGAGGCTCCTTCAAGGGCTCCGGGGGACCAGGCGGAGTCTGGGAGGCAGAACTGTTGGGAATCTCATTGGCACACGCCATGATCAACAGATCACAGGTTGGCAACAGCACTAGAATAGGATCCTGGCACGACTGTGTGTGACCAGGTCACGCTTGGTACGGCTGCACCAGTGCACGCCCACCTGTTAAGCTCATGTGGTCCTTCTGAGGCTAGCCAAGGGACAGCTGCCATCCCTATGCACTCAACGCCCAGGCATCACTGTGGGCCCAGGCAGAGTGGCTCCTTACCTTGGGCTGCGTATCTACAAGAGCCGTCCTCTACCAGCACATTGTAGAAGGGCTGATGGTGGCCGTGAGGCAGGCTGTGCACGTTCATGTTCCGGATCCACTCGTGGCCCATCATGCAGGTGGGGTCCCAGCCGTAGATCACACAGTTATAGCCGTACCTAGCGAGCAGGAGAGGACGGCGGGTCAGTTCCTGGGACACAGAGCAACGGCCTGGCTCCCCTTAAGCTCACATTCTCACACACTTCCCTGCTTTTATGCCATGTTGAATCACGTTCTTTTTAGGACTCTCCTGCCCATCTTCATAAATTTATTGTCAGGATAGCATTTCACTTCGAAAAGAAGAACTTCAATAGAGCCATAGGACAACACGGTCATCCAAATGGAAAAGGAATCATCAGGGCATTAACCTGATTGCAATGCACCACAAGTGACTCGTAATGAAATAAGGGCCCAGACACACAACCCAGATGTGTGAAGATGAAATACCCTTATGACATGAGACAAGGAAAGATTTCTTAAACAAGACGCTAAAATATAATCCAGAAAGGCAGACTAACCAATCTGACAGCATTAAAACTGAGAGACTAGATGCAGTGGCACACACCTAACTCCCAGCTACTCAGGAAGCTCAGGCAGGAGGAACACAAGTTCAAGGCCTCCCTGGGGAACTCAGTGAGACCTTGTCTGAAAAAAAAAAATTAGGGCCGGGGATTTACCTCAGTGGTGCCGCTGCCTGTCTCGCAAGAAGGTCCCGAGTTCAATCACTGGTACCAAACAAACCCCCCCACCCCGCCCCCCTACAAAACCACAAAACCAAAAAATTAAAAAGGGCAGAGGATGTAGCTCAGTGGTAGAGTACTTGCCTGGCATGCACCAGGCCCTGGGTTCAATCCCCAGTATGCCAAAGAAAAATGAAAAGCTGAAAGAATAAAGGACCTTGATCGAAACAGCTTATATATAACATTTAGGACAATGGGGGTTAAGGAATTATTTTTTAGATGTGGTAACAGGACAATAAATATAGAAATATAAATATATTTAGAGAAAAAGAAAGTGAAGAGCCAGGCGTTGTGGTACAAGGCTGTAAGCCCAGAACTGAGGAGGCTGAGGCAAGAGCATTGCCTTGAGCTTGAGGCCAGCCTGAAGTGTACTACATAGTGAAACCTTGTCTCAAAAACCAAAAAACCAAACAAAGATACAAACTGCAAGAGCAGTGTGTGACATCTAGCACTTGCTTCAATTACTCCAGGGAGGAGAGATGAGGATGCGGAGGCAACGATGAAGACTGTCTGTATTATGTTAATACGGACGCTGGCTGATGGGAACATCACCTGACCATGCATTTGGCTCCATTCTCTTCAGGCACACACTGAAAGGCTAAGAAACACTGGCCCAAACTGGGAAGATATTTGGGACTTATTCTCCCACAGAGACCAGTGTACAGGATAAAAAACAACTACCTGTCAATAGAGCCTAGTAACTGAATGGAATATAAGCAAAGCACTTGAAACTGCACTTCCACAGACTCAGATGGCCAGTGAGCAGACGAAAAGAACCGCAGCCGGTGTGGTGTGGGGGTCAGGGAAGTGTAACGAAAACCGCAATGAAGGACCACGTGCCACCTACCACCTCAGTGCATTTTAAAAGGTCTAACAGTGACGGCTATCGGTGAGGACAGGTCCCCGCAGCTTCTGCACTGCTGGGGGGATGCACACTGGCACCATTACTTTAGAGAGAGTTTCATTCTGCCAGGTAAACAGACCACCTGCACCTCCTACCCAGGACCCAGACTCGAGGAGAGGGAAATTAAAGAAGAGCATTAAGGACAATAAAGCAGTAAGAGAAAAACCCTTTGCTCACAGAGTTGCTTCCATCTTCCTCACAGAGAAGGGTCACACATCTAGAGGTCACTAAAAACACCAAGACTGCTCAGGAAAATGAGCCAGCGCGTAAAGATCCGGTTCGGCTTTCTGTTGCTCCCGTGGTGGGCACAGCAAACAAGTGATCCTCGGGCTCACTGCTGCTCTCAGTCAGATCCTCCTCTGGCCGAATCGCTGCAGGCCACAAGGCTCGCGAGCACCTTCCACAGCCCGGTTCGGATGGACGAGGAGGACAGGGCCTCAGGCACTTACCTCTTATGCTTCATTATGAGCCCGATGGAGTAGCAGACATCCCTGTGCTTCTCATCAGAGCGCAGCTTAACCTCCACGCCTACCTCCTCCTTTTTGCGCTCAATGTGCTCTAGCGTGTGCTGCACCAAATAGCCCACCGCCCCGTGCTGCCCGGGGTCGAGGGTTTGGATGTGCTGGAGGATGTCAAGCACCTTCAAGACAAGACAGAAAGACTAGGAGATAATATTTTCAGCTAGGCCTTTTCTCTTTTGCAGCACAGGATTTAGGCCTACCTACGTTATCTGAGAAGGGCACGTTTGGACTAGGACGACTAAGAAGTTCTACCATTCTTGGTCGTCATGGAAATGGTGGGAATGCTAGGAAGAGACTATTTTATCCTGCTACTTATGCACTGGGTAGTGAAAAACCCGAAACTGCTCTTACTAAGACAAAGGCATTTTGATACAACTGTCTCAGTGGTGGGTGTCACCAAAAAGGCAGCAAAGGGACAATTTTCTAAGTTTATGACGTTATACTCAAGGAGGGCAGCATGATTATCAGGGTTCTGGAATCCTGCTGGTCACACCGTTACCCTAACTCAGAAAGGAACCGGGTGTTCACACAGGCAAAGGGAGAAACCCGGTCTACCCGGAGCCTAAACCAGCAGCAGCAGATCGTGGCAGGACTGTAACTCCACTGTGGCAGTCTCTCTACTGTGTATGGCGTGGCTACAGAAAAATAACATTCAAGTAGAGTTTTCGAAACACATACACAGGGGCCAGGGATGTAGCTCAGTGGCAACATCTCTGCCTGGCAAACATAAGGTCCTGAATTAGATCCCTGGTACCAAAAATAAACCCAAAAAACCCCCAAAACAAAACACATACACAGGTTTATTTAGCACCTGTGATGTTTACAGCATGTAGCTCAAGGTCTCTGATAGGTCTGTCCTTCTGATTCACTGAGTCCTAAATTATAGCCTGCTTGGTGGAGCGGCAACCTGGATTCTAATTCCAAATCTGTCAAACTAGCTACCTGTTTTTACTTTCGAATTACTTTTTCACTTCTCAAATGATGATTAAGCACTGCCCTACCTATTTCCTAATACAACTGACCTGTAAAAGTGTTGTGAAAATTAGTTTTATGCAACCTAAGATATTATCATCCCCAGATCCAGTCTTGTCTTCCAGAATGAGACTGTAGGAGCTCAACATTTCCTGATAATGAATTTCAGTATTTTACTCTCCACTGGGCACTGTGCCAAGTAGTCACTGCTGACCTCCAGAAGAGGAACTGGCCTAGTGAGGTTAAATAATCTGCCTGAGGTCACGGGATTATGAAGACGGTGAGTAAGGCAGACGCCCTGGATTTGACTGCCAACCTAAGGCCTCAGCCACCACCATACTGGCTCGAGCACAGGAGCATTTTAATTCATATTATGCAGAATTTCACATGTATAAAAATGGACAGAGTGCTGTAATGTAAGTAGGTGGAACCCAGATCCCACAAGAACTGATGGAGAGCCAATCCCTAACCACTTCCCACCTGCAGGAGGGTACCTTTAGCATGGGGACACGAGTGGCATTTCTTCTCCGTGGCTGAACTCAGAATGAGAGAGGAAACGAGATTCAGGGAAGACCACCCTCTTTCCCTGCATGTGGGTGAGGGCAGAACCAGAGAGGAAGCTGTGATTTGGGGCCTGGTGGAAGGACAGTGCTGACCACACTGTCCCCAACCAAACGCTCTAGGCCTGGACTCCAAGTGTTTACAACTTTTGGGGAAAGATTTTGGAATGCACGCCCTAGTGCCCCCGATGCATTTCCTTACGGCAAACTTCTGGAAAGGGCTGGAGAGTATCTGGGCTCTGTAGATTGTCTGGACTCTGACTCAGCTAGAACACCCAGCTGCTGCAGCTGACAGCAGCCAGACCCTGAGTGTGTGGTGGCTTTAGGAAAGCATCCCCACAAACTGGCTGGCCCTGCTGACCCCATGCTGGCTTGGATCCCAGGTTTCCCGAGGCTGTCAAGCTCTTGAATTTCTTGACATCCACCTGCGAAGGATCACTGCTTTGAGGCCTCTGGCAACCAGGGACTGATGCTGGGAGCGCCCAGTCAGAACAAACTTAACACACCCTAACTTAACACTTTCTTCCAACCCAAAACAGGCCATTCCCTACACACCCTCAGCATGGTACAAACTATCCTCCTACTGGAAACTCTGGACATCCTCCTGAAGTCTTCTTTATTCCTAGCCAATGAAGTTTGGTCATTTCTTATTCATTTAAAAAAAATTAAGAGCCTACAGTGTGCCAATAGCTGTGCTGAGAGTGTGGAGAATGCCAGAGTGAGCGGCAGAGGTGTGGGTCCATCTTTAGAGAACGTGGTCTAGCAGGGAAGGAGGATGAACCGGTGGTGCCATGGACTCAGGACAAGCTCCGGGGAGGGCCAGCTCAGGCCTGGCAGGAGCACCTGACCTTGCAGGGGCTGGAGTCCAGAAGTGAGCTGCAAACAGCAGAGAGTCAGCAGAGCACTGGTCCAGGCAGGGACACGGCACATGCAGAGATGGCAGCACACGGATGGAGGACATGGCTGGTACAGCAGAGCACAGGACAAGGCAGGGGCAGGCAGCTGGGCAGGCAGGGCCAGGGCTCTGAGAATCTATGAACCACGCTGCACAGATGCAGCAGGGGAACCACTCAGAGGGGCTTAGGCAGTGAAGGGACATAAGTGACATTTTATTGAGATGGCTGTGGCTACCACATATGAAATAGGCTTACAAGATTTCAGAGCAGAGGGAAGGAGACAAAGCAGGGGCCTGTGTGTGAATCTACAGAAAGACTGTTTCCAATGGGCAGCCTTCCCTGCCTCTGGAGCTGGAGCCAGAGCTGGACTGGACTGAAGCCCTCCTGGGTGAGGAGCCTCCTCTAGTGACCAGGCAGCTCTTAGATTCCTCCTCACTGGGAGCCTCAGCTTCCAGTCACCTCCATGGAGGTCACTTCCCTAGCTGATTCCCTGGTCACTGTGGGGAGGGAGCCTAGGGTGCACCTGGAATAATGGGTATGTGGGAGGCACCTGGATACTTTGCTCTGGAGCCCAAAACCTAGGAGCTATCAGCATGCAGGAGGCAAGTGAGGCAAAGGGGACAAGGAAGTGACCTTGTGCAAGGGTGCAGAGCACAAGAAAGCCAGAGATTAGCCTGGTGTAGCTCCTAGGGGGAGTCTGAGGACAAGAAGCTAGCAAGAGCCTGGGAACCAGAGGACACAGAGCATAGGGGACAGTGGAGGTACAGCAGCCACAGATGGAGAAAGATAAGGAAAGAAGAGTAGCTCCTGGATTAAGCAACAGGAGAACCATTTAAGCAAAAAGGGGTCCCAGCTTCCTTGAGCAAGAAAGAGGCAGTGGGTGGGTGGTGGGTGGGAGCGGGTCCCCACGCTCTGGGGAGTGTGCAAGTGACAGTGTGTAAGCGGATGAGGTGGTGGCCAGAGGCAAACATCAGCAAAGTGCTCTTTGTTTTGGTCCTCACAAAGGGGTGGGGATTTGCCTTGGAAAATCAGAGTGGCACCTTTTCTACTGCAATGCAGAGAAAGAGGGAAAGGATACCTATGGGTTTGGCTAACACGCGGGTCTGGAAGCAGTACAGTGTCTTAGCTTCGGGGTTCCCAGGGGATGGGGGAGCAGGGAGACTGGCACCTGTCAAAGTGGAATTCTTGGCACCACCTATGTATGCACAGGAGACCCCAGCAAGTTACCCAGCTTCTCTGTGCCTCATTATTTGTAAAATGACCAAAATGGAAACAGTATCGAGCCATAGGGCTACTGAGAAGATGGAAGATTTGATAAATGTCAGTGGCTTTTTAAATGTGACCATCTGGCACTCTCGATTTCCATCACAGTCACAGTAATGCTGGATTACTGCAGCAGTGACCACGGGGCTGATACATACTTCTTGGCTCTTCCTGTTTAATACAACAGAGAACAGGCAACTTTCTGACTTCAGCTCAGGATTGTTTTCCTTTCAGCTAATCAGGCCAAAGCATTCCACAAACTCATCTGACACTACCCAAATCCTGTAGACACGTTTGTCTACACACACAGTCGCATCTGCACACAGAATCCTGTCCGGCTGACCTCTGCTGGTGGCCACGGGCTGCTCCTGAGCCCTAGGGCCCCACTCTGCTACTTGGGAAAACAGTTCCTCATCTCAAGGCCACCCGAAGCCCTCCTGGGTGAGGAGCCTCCTCTAGTGACCGGGCAGCTCTTAGATTCCTCCTCACTAGGAGCCCCAGCTTCCAGTCACCTCCTTGCAGGTCACTTCCCTAGCTGATTCCCTGGACATCATGGGGAGGGAGCCTAGGGTGCACCTGGAAAAAGCCACTGCTCTTGGCTCTCTCTGGATAAGCTCAGTCTGGTGCGTGTAGCAGCTTTGGAACTGGTTTAGTGGTGCCTGCTTGGCAGCAAGGCGAGTGTGATCATTCTCAGGGACAGGGAGGCAGTTCTCACGTGGCAAGGTACAGTGTGAGTACCACGATGAGCCAGTGGTGGGAGGTAAGGCCACCAGAACATCCACAGACTTGTCCCTCAAAGAAGGGGGTATCAACAGCAGCACTTCTCAGGCTGACCTGCATTCAACTATGGAATTTACATCCAAAGAATCTTTGCTCTGCATTTCATGAAGGATCATGACAAAGCTAAACTAAAAAGTGACAGGAATTAGCTATGTGTACCTAGGAATCAGAAGTAAACGAGTAAAATAAAAAACTAAAGACAATGAACCATTTCTCCTCTGTGATGCCCCTCTGCCATGTGCCACTCTGCCTTGGAGCCAGCAAATTATGGATTGAAACCTCTAAGAACTGTGAGCTAAATAAACCTTTCCCCTTTAAAACAAACAAACAAAACCCTAAAGACTAATGATGGACAACTAAGCTGTGTGAGGAAGAACTGGCAGAGCCAACTTCCTCCTTAACTCTTCTGCCTCCTTCCAACGATGCCTGGCCGTGGACAGTGTCTACGTCAGAAGCCTGCGATTTCTCCCTCATGCGGCCTTTCTTAGACCCTCTTTAGATCTTTAGGCTGTGAACTAATGAGATAATGTAAATCTAAGCAATCCAGAGTCATTTACAATATTTACTTTCTCCAGGAACATTTTACCCCTCTCTAGTAACTCAGAGAGATCAATTTATGGCAATATCCCAGTGAGAACCCAGAATTAGATTTCTTCAGCATGCTGCTCTAAACAAACAGATTATTAACACATCTCCAGGGAACAGCAAGGGTGGGATGGGCCTCTTGCACTGTCAAACACGCTGAAGTCACGGAACCCACACAGAGTTTGCCAAAGGCCAATGCTGCTTCAGCGTGGTGGCTTTCTCATCAGGCTTGCTTTGGGCCAAAGGGGGCCAGTGTAATACCAAGAACAATCAAGTGGAATGGTAATGAAACTCAACTACTTCAAAGACATACCCAGTTCCTATCTAGTTCAGTGCCAAGACTTGAACCTATCTGACATCTGGTTTTCCTGTGTTCAACAGGGGTATTTATTTCTGGCCAATTTAGTTGCTAACATTCAGTTTTGTTTCCCCTGCTGAGTGAGGGGGACTCAGAGAAGACAAAGCTCAGATCCTGGTGGATGAGTGGCAGGATACTGGCTTTGTGATACCAGGTGCCAAGGGACTCATCACAAAGAGAATGGGCAATTCCTGACAGTAGAGTCAATGTCTCTTAGGATAGAAGGGACAGGAAAAAATATAATTGGTGGGACAAGATTGGGAGACTTCAAATAAATCTGTGGTCATTCCTCTGATCAATACAGGGATAAACTCAAAACAAGTGCCCTTCAATCCAGGACTCTCTTCTCTAAGGAAAGGGAAAAGCATCAATGTAAAATAATTACCTTCTCTGGCCAGATTCCCAGGTGGAAGTAGAGTCTGGCTTGGAGGAGCAGAAGCTGCACCTGGTCCGGGTACATTGCCAGGTACAGATCCAGCGAGTCTCTCAGGAGCTGGTACGATTGGTCGATGCCTTCCCTAGTGGAGAAAATCATCTTTTGTCTCATACTGTTTGCTTTTTCAGCCAAGTCCCCACCTTTTCCAAGTGTAGGTTTTAAAAATAATTGAAACAAATCCCAAAAGTTTTCTGATTCTGACATTTTCCCTTGGTTAAGAAAAGAGTTGTAATGCTTTTACAAAATACACAGTAAATATGAATCTCATGCTAAACAAAAATCTTAAGCATCTTCCTTAAGTAGTCACCTCAAAAACACTGTAATAATTAAAAGTAAATCCTGAGTAGACAGAGCAGAGGATTTCGGGGGCCCTGAAGCTGCTCTATGTGGAACTATCACGGTGGCTCCATGGCCGTCTGTGGTAGTTTAGACCCACAGAGGGCATAGCACTGACAGGGACCTGCATCGTAAACTATGAATGGGGGTGACGATGTGTCAGTGTAGGCTCATCACTTGTAACAAATGTCTACTTCGGGGAGGGCTATTGAGAGTGGAGATGGTGGTGGTGGGGGTAAGGCTGCAGGGAGGAAAGGAGATAGATGGGAACTCTGATTCTGTTCCATTTTGCTGTCAACTTAAAACCGCACTAACAAATAAAATCTATTAAAAAAAAAGAACCTGGCTATCAGGCAGAAAACTATCAACATACAATCCACAACTTTCTATTTTCCCAGGACAAACTTTTTTGGACTCAGAAGAAAGTTAGTTTCAAACTTTTGTTTTTCTGACCTAAATGACAGAAAGGTATAAATTAAAAGGTCACAAAGCATTTGGACACAAGACCATCCTGCCTCTGAAAAATAATCTTTGCCTAAGACACTCTTGTTACAAAGAGAACTTGTCCACTGCAAAGATTTCAAATAAAAGTCACTTAGCGCATCCTGACTGTGTACAGCTTTGTCACAGGAACTGGCTATTTCCTACTGTAGGCAGAAGCTAACGACAGTGGATGCAATACTTTGCTGTATCTCAGGTGGGGTCACTGAATAAAATTCTGTGTAAGACACTCACTCTGCAGAACAATCAGAAGAGCTTACCGCTTCCCCAGGCTTAGCAGGTTTCCCACCATCCGCTGCAACACCTTCTTCACGTTGACCACCCCATACAGCGCTGCAGTCACGTGCTGGCCAATTAAGTACTCACATTCTTTCACTGTCAGCTGCTTGCCTTTCCCAAAAGCATCGATGTAGATGTAGTCAAAGATGTCCAGAGTTGCCCTATCCGAACAGCCAAATACCAGAAGAGAGCTGAACAATTCAGTATTTTAAGTTCCTATAATCAGAGGCTAAAGGTTAGAATAGTACATTTCTACTGACAACATTAAGGCCTTGTCCAGTTTAAACCTGACCCTTTACACAAGCTTAGCTGTATCCAGACCACAGGATCTTAAGAGAGAGCATCAATGCATGCCATGTAACATAGGAAGATTAATCCTCAAACTCATGGCCAGGGGCATCATACAAAATTCAGTTGGAGGAAGATATTGGGAATGGCTGAGGCAGTTTGTGAGTTCCTAAAATTAGCAGTAGCTAACCATGGGGATCCTGGGCCCTTGAGGATCTGAGGAAAGTCATGGCACATGACTGCAGAAGGACTCAGCCCTCCCTGCTGCCCAGCCTGGCCTCACAGAACTATGCTCCTGGACGCGTGGCTTCAGTGAACCTACCTCACCCCTGTAGAGTGGGGCCAGCCCACAGCGGGGAGGTGAACAGGGGTCACGGGACCCAAATTCTCACTGCGCTCTCCGAGGGCTCACGGAGGGGTTAGGTGGCTCTATCTCAGGTTGCTGTTTCTTTTCAGCAACTGTTTTACCTTGATCTTACACCCATTATAAATCACAGATTTTCTCTCTGGCTGCTACAAAGTCCAGCTGGATTTCTTCCTCAAGTCATGTTTATGGTCCACTTTAAGCAAAGACATTAAGACCTCCATAAATATTCTAGAAATAGGGAACTCTTCAATTCTTTTTTTTTTGGTACCGGGGATGGAACTCAGGTCCTTGCGCTTGCAGGGCAGGTGGGGGAACCACTGAGCTAAATCCCCAGCCCCAACTCTTCAATTCTTTACGAAGCTAGACTCCTAAAGACAAGTATACAAAGATTACAGGCCAAAATCATTTATGAGCAGAAATGCAAAAAATCCAGGATGAAATACAAGTAAATCAAAGGCAGCAATGGTACTTTTAAAACATATAATTAAATAAGATGAACTCTAAGAATGACAGGAGAATTGAACATTAAAAAATTCTATTTCTGGGGCTTGGATGTAGCATATGCTTAGTGGATTCAATCTCCAGTAGCGAGAAACAAAAACAAAACCAAAAACTATTCCTGTGCATGCAGACCTCAAGAAAAAACATCTGATCACATGAGTAGACAGAAAAGGAATTTTGAAAAAAAAATCTAATACCTAAATCTGTACCTAAAACTCAGCAAATTAGGAATCTGGAGGACAGCTTTGATAATCCCAAACACTGGACTAGCCCAAACACCACACCTGATGGTGAAATTTGGAAAGCACTCTACTGAAAACCATACCCAAGGCAGAGGTGCCTGCTATCACCGTTTCAACTGTGTACAAAAGGAGCTAGATGACACAGTCAAGATAAGAAAAATAAACAAATATGTAAGGCTAGAAAAAAGAAAACTATCACTATTCACAGACACTGTGATTATCAACACTGACAAGCCAAGAGTTGATGACTGTTCACACCAACAATTTATTCAGCTAAGGTGTTGAACACCAAGCCTATTTTTAAATATCAACCACATTCCTGTATATTATTAATACTTAGGAAACTGATATTAAGAATTACCATTTATAACAGCACCAAAAATGTAAGGTACCTAAGAAGAAACAAGACACTAGTTTGATGAAGAAAAGGGTAAATCTTTTTCAAGCACACTATGAGGACCTGCATAAATGGACAGGCCAAGTTCACAGATATCAGACTCGACAGTGAAACACTGCAACGTTCCCTTTATTATTCCAGAAACCCATGAGTTAATCAACATCCTTGAGGGATTTTTAAGGAACCTGATTAAGAGATTCTCAATCTGTATAGAAGAGCAAAAGGTAAGAAGAGCCAAGGCAATTTTAAAGGCCTCGTGGGGTCTCATCCTACCAAGGAGCAGGACTAATTAAGTTATAGCAATGGAGGCAGTATGGTCTTGGTGTAGGGCAAGGAAAGAGACCGAAGGTAGGAGTGGAAAGCAGTTAGAGCAAGGACAGGAAGCACTGCAGCTCAGCAGGTACTTTTTGTTTTAAGATAGGGTCCTGCTATGTTGCCCAGGTTGGTCTCAAACTCCCAGGATCACTCAAGTGATCTTTCTGTAGCCCAAGAAGGGAAAACGATACTGTAGGTTCACATGCAGGGGAAAAATTACAGAAGGATCCAGGGAAACCTTTAGTCACTCTCCCTTGATGGTAGCATCTTGTGTGGCTAGAGTACAACAGCACAATTGGAACAGTGACACCAATCCAGTCAAGCAAAAAACCCAGCTCCTTCCCACCTTGGTTCTGTTTTAACCTGTCTGGCTATACCCAATGCAAGGCTGAGGCCCGGCTTCCTGTCCACGGAGTGGGACTGAGTCCTCGCCCCGATGACCAGATGCCCAGAGCTGCCTTACCCTTCCGCGCCTTGGCACCACCTCAGCAAGAAGTGACTCGGGAAGTTGACAGGCTCCAGGGGGACTCCCAGCTGCCGAGCAATTGTCAGGTACAGCAGCGACATGCTGATTGGGATTCCTGTTCTGCGGATCAAAACCTTAAGGACAAAAAATGCTTTGGGTTCAGAGAAACCATATGTGCTCATTCGCTCAATAAACAGTCTCATTAGGCACACAGCTTGCCTTGGGCCTGATGCTACTTTTTGAGGCTTAACCAGATGAATATTTTTTTATTCACAGCAAGGGACAAATCTAGTCCACTCACAATTTCTGTATAGTTGGCATAGGACAAGTTTTTAAACATTTTTTAATGTTTGAAAAAATAATCCAAAGAATACTATTTTGTGACACACAAAAATAACATGAGATTCAAATTCCAATGCCCATATATAAACTTATGTTAGAACATAGCCACGCTCATCTCCTTCTGTACTGGCTGTGCCTCCTCCACACTGTAAGGACAGCACTAAGGAGTTAAATCAGACGGCATGGTCCACAAAGCCCAGGGAATTGACTGCCTGCCCCTTTGCAGGAAGTCTGGCAACCTGTGTGTAAGACACGGTAAAATTGAAAGCAGCAGACAGCAACAGAATAGCTATATGAAGCCATACACCTTAAATCATCTCTAGATTACTTGTAATACCTAAAACTATACAGTATAAAGGCTATACAGTTGTTATTACCTAAAGGTAATAATGACAAGACAAGAAAAAAGTCTACGCATGTTCAATAAAAACACAATTACTACTTTTTTCCAAATAGCTTTGAACCACAGCTGGTTAAATATGTGGATGCAGCACAATATACTGTTATGGAGGGTCAACTTTTTTTTTTTAAACTACCATTACCCATATTTACCTGGTGCATATATAAATTTAGAGCATTATAGTAATCCATCCGATTCCCCTTGAACTTCAGTTGGTCATAAAGAACATAGTTCATGGCATCCAGCACCTGGCTCTGGAGTTCTATTTCCATTATCATGGAGGATTCGCCTGAAACAGAGATCTACTCTGGAGCACAAGCACAGACAAGGTTCGGACCCAGTGCCCTCGCCAGCCCATAACATGCAGAGATTAGCAATGGCTTCATAACCAAGTGCTGTCAATCTATGGATCAGAAGAGAGGATGTACTCAGTGTTTTATGTGTCACTTATCAATTTTTGTCAGATAATAAGTCTGCTCTGCTGAATTCCCAATTAACCAACTCCTCTAGTTCTAGTTTTCTTTTACAAATAGAGCTAGATCCAAAGCAATTCCATACCTGCCTTGAAGGCCAAGCTGGGATGGCGACTGTTTATGCCCCGGAGGGTTTTGCAAACAAGCTCCACGATGCTGTCAATCTGGGCCTGGATGTCTTTGAGGCTGATGTCAGAGAGAGGGTTGCAGTACTGGTCGATGTAGACGGCTCCTGCAGATGGACAAGAATCATGAAATAAATTCTCCTTTCTACCCTACTCTTACTAGCTTGTCATTTGACCTGAACCCCTGGGCCATGGCTTTTCACACCATCCCAGCAGATAAGCTTCCTCCTTTGGGTGCCAGGCCACGATAACACACTGAGGAGGAAGAAAAGACATTTTCACAACAAAGGGGCTTACACTCCACTATGTCTTTCTTTTTTATTTTTTAAATAACCAAACTTCTCTTAGAGGTCATGGGCAAACCAAACAAAAAAAAGCAACAACAAAAAACAAAAACAATACTGCACGACATGTGGTATATTCCCATATTCCATTACAAAGAGAAATAAATGCCATAAAGGAGATCTTTTCAAGCTGTCCTATCCCCCACTTATAGGTTCAAAATCCAAAGACTCTGAAAACTCACAGTATAAGACAGCTCTTTTATTAAAAAAAAAAAAAAGTCAAAAGTCTTCATGAAACCCAGGACATTTCAACAAGTATTTTTCAAGGGTGAATGGTAAATGGACTTTAGTGGTAACTCTACCTTCAATTAGATAAATGGTTATTCTCGGGCAACCTGCAGCTAAAAAGCTATATAGAGCACACCAGAAACGCTGTCTATTAAAAGTCACCACCCTTCATAGCCTCAGGTGATCTTTTAACCTGGGGGAGGAAGAACTGCATCATCATTTGGGTATAGGACATTTTTATTTGGGAAACATTCAAGTTATCTTAAATTCAAGAGATCTCAGACCAGCTCAGGACCGGGAGTCCCCTACCAATACTCCAAGGAGCTGAAAGCATAGGAACGGGGGTCAAGAGGCCCAGACCCCAGACCTCTTGTGTCACTGCGGCCCACGGTCTGGCTCTCCAGTTTCCCTGTATGTGGGCTGGAGAAGTTCATGCTGAACTTTTCTGAAGTCTATTCCATTCTAAAGTTATGGTTCCTCGGCTGGCTTCTTCAATGGCACTGGCATTATTCTAATCAGTCACCAAGGACCAAAACCCTGCAACCAACATTCATCCATCTACTCAACCATAAAAATCCTTCGGTGGCTTCCAGGGCCTACAGCACTGATTTGGAGGAATTTTGTGAAAACTATAACACAACTTTATGTTTGAAAACTGAAAACAAGTATCTGTTTTCAAATATAATCTACAGAAAATAAAATTTCTTGTACTTTTTTTTTTTTTTGGTGGGGATCAAACTGGGGACCTTGTGCTTGCAAGGCAGGCTGCGGAACCACTGAGCTAAATCCCTGGCCCTCTTGCACTATTCTTAACGGTGACATAAACAGAAAACAGGAGACTCCCAACTGCAGTATGTACATAAGATTCTAAATAGTCAGGACATTTTAATCAACTAAAACAGATTTTTCACTTCCATTTGGATGATAATTTCATACAATTATCAAGCATCTAGACTGGGCATTGACGGGCACACAGCAATCTTAACTCCAGGACCCGGTTCATAAAAAACTTTGTCAGTGACTAAAGAAACGAAATGTACATTTGCAACAAAAAGGATGAGAGATAGTTACTGTTAAATGCTACTGCAGTAGTTGTGAGGACAGAAAACTTTCCAAATAACCAGCTGAAACTTGATGGAGGTGAGACTTGAGCTGAACCTGGAGGGCAAACAGGATCTTTAAGAGGGAATTAGAAGAGAGATCCCGAGAACCCAACTGTATCTGTGGGCACGGCACAGTCAGATGAGTAACAGGGGGTGGGTCTGGAGCTGGGGAGGACTGGACTGTGGAGGGCCCTGGAAAGCAAGCAAAAATTTTAAAAGGCAAGTCAGCTGCCACAGGGGCTGCTAAAGAGGTGGGTTTCAGGCTGGACTGACTTGAGGGCAGGAGGGAGCGATGCTCAGGAGAGCAAGTATCCCTGGGAGAGGTGGTGACAGCCTGCCTGAGAACAGCAGTGGAAAGAGATGCAATGATAAGAACACTGGAAAGGGGGAAAAAAATCAACAAGATCAGGTACATTACTGGAGCAGGGAAGGAAGTGAACATGCATTTCATAACCACAATTTATGGGAGTGTTTGTGTAACATTCTAGGAATTAAAATAGTTTAAAAAAACTGACGTTACATTCTGTTCCTGTGCAACTTTGCAAGAACACAAAGTCATGCTGTGCCTGCCCATCCTGCTCCTTTCTCCTCACTTCTCATCATGGACCAGCAGACACTGATGCACGAGAACATTCTGTCCTCATTAAGCTCCAAAGAGGGGTTCAGGATGTGCTCAAGGTTAGAGATAAAACCGGATATATTTATTTCTGCTTTCCAAACAATCCTTTAAAGCTTAGAACAAGGAACTCATCCCCCTAAGTAAAACACTGCTCTCCCACTTTGAAACAATGATGTATCTTTGTTCGAAACCACTATCATACTAGCTGACAGCTAAAGATTTAAAAATCTTGCTCTCTGCTTCAGTGGGTCAGACCTACTCCCCAAGTCAGGGCACATAATCCAACCTCCAGAAGCCCATTCAGGGTAGTTCTGAGCCCTGCTCTTAACGACTGTGGTTCTACAAACCAAAAGATCATCACTGTTCACAGGTACAGGAAAAACCCACCTTCCAGATAGGATTCATAATCATCAGGCTGCTGAAGAAAAGCCTTGAGGTTATTTAGGATTTTCTGTTGCCGTAGGTAGTAAAGAATTTTTTTTGCATAGTATTTCCAGGTCAAAGCTTTTCTGGAAAACAAAAAACGAAAAAACCAACAAAAAAGTCAGTAAGAATTAAGAATTTAGAACCCATTACCTTACTCTTACTTCACACTAATCATTGCATATATCCACTTTAACAAGGAAAATAAAATTGGTTCAAGGCCTTCTAGTACTTACTATCATGGAGGCAGCCAGCAGTTTAGGGCTCTGCAACTGCAATGTGACACTAAGTTCATTGTGCTGAAAGCTGTGGAACAGTTCCGGGGCTGGCTTTAGATTTACTTCCGTGCATCTTTGGCAAAAGGTAATGCAAGAGCACCCTGAGAGGTAAGTTGGGCTGGGTGAGCTCCAGGAGCCGGGGAGGCCTCTAGGGCCCTTGCTGTCCCTGGCACCTGCTCAGCAGACCCAGGACTCTGGCTGTGCTCTTCCTTCTACTCTCATGGCTGCAGCCAGGCCACCAACTCTCAAGATTCCCAATAGTATCCACAGTGATCACATTTCCTTTATTTTCCAGAACAGTTTCCCCAGAGCCACATACCCCAGGGCTGCCCCACTAGCCTCTTGGACAACCGGGGAGCACTTGGAACCTTCTTCCCACCCAAGTCAGCCTCACTGCACACTGCCAGCTCCATCATTCCAGTGAGGGCAAAATTCTCCCACCCAAGCCCTCTGCGCTGTCATGGGACCCCTGCTTCCTCCTCTTAGAATGCTATCAGCTCTGTCTATAACATGGATCCACAACGTGAACCCTTCTCTCTCATTTAGCCAAGCCGCCACTACCTTCTGCCCGTGGCACAGCAGCATCCTAACTGGGCTTCCTGCTTTGAACTTTAACCCCCAAAATCCTGTCCTCAATATGGCATCTGGGGCACACTGGTAAAAACTGTCACATCACCATAACCCTCTGCCTTAAACCCTCCGGCGGGTTTCCATTTTACTTAACAGAAAAGCCCAACTAATTCCTAATGAGAACCTAAAAGGTGCTCTCAAACCAGGCCTGGTGGTGCACATCTGTAATCCCAGCACTCTGGGAGGCTGAGGCAGGAGGATCACAAATTCAAGTCCAGCCAGGGCATCTTAGTGAGATGCTGTCTCAAAATAAAAACTAAAAAATGAGTTTGGGATATACTTCAATGCAAAGGTTCTGAGTTCAATCCCCAGAACTGCCAAAGAAAAAAAAGTCCCTTCAACCCTTACCCCATTACCTCTGACCTCCATTCCCATATTTGTACCTCAGTTCAACCACCTGGCCACACTGACTCGCTGCTGTTCCTTTACCATCTTAGCACTCTCTGCTCCCCTCTGCCTGGTTTGTTCTCTCACCTCCTCTGAGATTGTAATTCAGATACTCCCTTCCCGTTTTTGCTACTGGGGATGGTATGCAGAGCCTTCACACTGAGATACATCCCTAGCCCCCCGACCCTTTTTTCTCTTCTGTAACTTTAATTGAAGCATTGCTATTCATTTTTAACTTTCTTAAAAGCACCAAATTTTAAAATCTAAGTCAATTTTTTAAAAACCATCAAGAACTTCCCTCTGAAACAAAAACAATGACGCTCATTTCTCCAAAGGACCTTTAAGTTCCACCACAATCAAAACAAAACAAAACAAAAAACCCACACAGAAATAAAAAGTAACAAAAATCACATTCTGGGGGTCAGTGCATTTAGCAGTCTTTGCTGTACTGTCCTTCAGCTGACTTTCAAAAAAATAACACCCTAGCTCATCAAAATATACATTTTCCATTTGCTTTTTAAAATTAAAAATAATAATTAAAAAGAGGAAACTTTAAGGAAGTCACAATCAATTGCCTGACTCATTTTGATGGCATGTACAGCATATGGAGATCAGGAAGGCTATCTGTAGCACACCTCACTGGGATATCCATCTTCAGGGTTTAGCTTTCTTCCAGTGTAAAATACCCACAATTCCATGTATGAAGGGACACAGACGATCTCCTTCGAGAATTCCACAGGACAATACAGGCACCCAAGCTGCTCTTCATAGAGTGACAGGGCTTCTGTCAAATTGACACAGTTCCCCTGTGTAAAATACTTCCCATCCTGTTTCAATACTTTCATTGAGAGGTCAAGAATCAGTCTGAGAAACTCCCATGTGGAATCTTCATCTGGAGATGTGGAGATTGGAACAGCTGTCAAATCATTAATCACATAATCAAACTCTCTCCCTTCTTTGGCGTACCTCTTCAGTACTGGAATAGTCTTCTATTAGAACCTGATAGCAGTCTCCTTTAAGATTGTCTAAGACCTCACTACATGTTTTGCGCATATATTTCTCACATGCATCAACCACCATTTGGTCAATCTCTACCATAGTGACCATCTTTGGTTTCAGTTTGACTATTTCACATGATATGCCTCCATCTCTGCCTCCCAGAATCAGTACGTCTTTGCCAGTGTAATCTTTGGCACTGCCCATGATGGCCCAGGTATATGCCAAATCACTCTCTGCCAAATTAACATCCCCACTAAGGATGAGAGTATTTCCAAACTGCTCTGAGTGTAGAATTTTAATGTTCTGGTAAGGTGAATCTTCATCATATACTACTTCATCTATGTCATACTCAACCAGCCACCCATCAGCAGTGGGCCAATATCTGTCGATGGCCCCTCCTCGAACTATGGTTGGTAAATGCTTCACCTGCCCAATACTGGCCTGACTCAATTCTTTCATTCTCTCTTCTACTTTGTTCAAAAGGTTGTCGATTTCTTCTTTGCCCTGGATATCACTGTCGTAACTCTGAAGGTCCAGCAATAGCAATCCACGTGGATAAATTCTCAAATTGGCGAAGCTGCCATTTTTGTTTGTGTAGGTTGCTACGTAGCCATGATCTTGCCAGGTATGTACCGACTCTGCCATGCCCTGCTCCTGGAAAATGGACTGCAGGCCTTTTAAAATGGTCTCACCACCAGCTTTGGTGCCGAGCATGAAGTTGAGCATGCTGTGCCGTGCTGCTGCCACAGTGAGGCGAGGCCCTGTGCCATGCCTGGGGGAGGCGGCTGCGGGAGACAGGGGGCCGTGTGGCATGTCAGGCTCTGGCGGGCAGTGCGTAGCGCG